CTGCATTTTCGGGAAACTGCTAATTTTATTTTTCGTGGAAGGGTGGCAGCAAAATTCTATACCATCCCGGAAGGCACTAACCCCAGCTAAGCCACTGCTCATAATCCCTAATTTCTAAACCTTATGCCTAACCTAACTTTTACCCTAAACTATCCCTAACCCTAACCCTAACCCTATACCATCCCGGAAGGCATTAACCCCAGCTAAGCCACTGCTCATAATCCCTAATTTCTAGCCCTATCCATAACCTAACTTTTACCCTTAACCTATCCCTAACCCTAAAAATATCCCTAAACTTAAGTTCTACCCCTAGCCTAACCCTAACCCTAACACCATTTAGAAATAAATATGTGCAATGAAAAAGCCGATCTGAAACTTCTTAATTGTTTAGTTTATTTCTTTACTATACTAAAAATAAACGGGCAATCAATGGATGCGGAAATGCCTGACCTTTCATCAACTTAAGTTATTAGACAAATTTTGCAGTCAAGTAACGCACTTAAATAAGAATTCAGTACATCCAATATAGTTGACGTGCAAATATGCATATCTGGCGTGTTAAGAGTCATTGTGAACCCGATGTTTAGAACATAGGACTCGTCATTGTAAACATGGTGTTTAGGACATAAGACTGGTCAGTGTAAACCAGATATATAGGCAATAAAACTTGTCATTGTAAAACATGGTGTTTAGGGCAAAAGACTGGTCATTGTAAACCAGATGCAAAGGACATAAGACTGGCCATAGAGAACCAGAATTTTAGGACATTATTCTGGAAACTTTGAACCAAATATATTATATTAGACTGGTCATTTATAAACATAATTTTATAACATCGGACTGTTTATTTTAAAATGATTTTATGACATCAGACTGGTCATTATAAAATGATTTTATGACATCAGACTGGTCATTATAAAATGATTTTATGTCATCAGACTGGTCATTATAAAATGATTTTATGACATTAGACGAGTAATAATAAACATGATATGATAACATTAGACTGGCCATTATAAATAGGCTGTAGGGTGTAAGACATGATACAAACCAGAGATGATAAGAAAACAATACATGTCTTTGAAAACAAAAGTTGGTCTTTATAAATAAAAGTTGGTCTTTATAAACAAAAGTTGGTCTTTATAAACAAAAGCTGGTCTTTATAAACAAAAGCTTGTATTTATAAACAAAATCTTGTCTGTATAAACAAAATCTGGTCTTTATGAGCAAAAACTGGTCTTGATAAAAAAAGCTGACCTTTATAAGCAAAACAATGGTTGTTATTAAATGAATCACATGGGTCAAGTTCACTACCTTAAGGTGGCAGACGTTAGGATTTTTTTCCAACTCCTTCAATACGTTACTGAAGAAACTGGATATTTTAGTACTTTTAATGAATTAAAATACGACTGAATTTTTTTTAAACTCAACATTGCGGTACAATGTAAAAATTAGTATTAATTTCTGACATCAAAAACTACTGTTCATTACGCAACATTCGAGACATTACTAAAACTTTAACGAGTATTTATGAGGAACTGTGTTCAAGCCATTCAATATATGAGGGACTGTGTTCAAGCCATTCAATATTTGAGGAACTGTGTTCAAGCCATTCAATATATGAGGGACTGAGTTCAAGCCATTCACTGTATGGGGAATGTGTTCAAGCTATTCAAAATAAAAAACAGTGGAACGAGATAAGTTTTGGCTTCCTAAAATATTTATTTAAATAGTAATTTCAAATTTTGTAATAATTTTAATATTTTTACAAATATTGAAACCAATGAAACAAATTATTAAAATATAATAAATATTTTTTTTTAAATTTAAGTTCAAAATAATATAACCCACCCACAAAATATGTGGTGCTTATAAGAACCATTTCTCTCTAGTCGAACTGCAGAGAGTTAAATTAAGAAATAGACCTCTTATAAATTCAATACGTCAGAAAAGTCTACGGTGAAAAGGGTCCTGTGAATCAATAAAGAACTGAATTCGACCTGAATAGCATCTTTAGTATGCACTGTTGAGCGTAATTATGGTGATGATGGTGATGGTAATGATGTGGTGGTGGTGATGATGATGATGATAATGATGTTGACGATGATGATGATGAAGAGGAGGAGAATGACGATGATAAGGATGACGATGATGAGGAGGAAGAGGAGGAGGAAGTGGAGGATGATGATGATGAAGAGGATGATGATAATGATGATAAAGATGATGATGATGATTATAATGATGTTGACAATGATGATGATGATGATGATGTTGATGATAAGGATAAGAATGATGGTGATGATGATGTAGTTGAAGACGATGATGATGGCAAAGATGATAAATATGATAGAGGCGATGATAATGAAATGTTGATTATAAGGATGAAGTCGATGATTATTTTGATGGTAGTAGTTTTGACGATGATGATTCCGACGTTGAGGATGGTGTTGATGATGAGGATGATGATGATGATAATGATTTTGATAATGTTGATGATAATGATAATGATGATTTTCGATGACAATTATGTAGTTGAAGATGATGAAGAATGTTATCATGATGATGATAATGATAATGATGATGATGATAATGATGGTGATGATGGTGTTAATGAAGATTTCTATGATGATTGTAGTGTTAACGGTGATGATGATAATGATGATGATGATAATGATGATGATGATAATGATGATGATGATAATGATGATGATGATAATGATGATGATGATAATGATGATGATGATGATGGTGCTAATGAAGATTATTATGATGATGATAGTGTTGACGATGATGATGATAATGATGATGATGAAGATGATGTTGAAAGGATTATGACTTTGATGATGTTAATGATGAAGACGATGATTATTAAGGTGACAATAATGATGATGAATTTACTGATTACGGTGATGAAAATGTCGATGACAAGGATGATGCTATTTCTGATGGTGATGATGGTTACTGAGAAGGTGACGATAACAATATTGATGATGATGGTGATAAATGTCGTGATGATGATGATAGTTTTGAGGATGATGTAGTTTACTATGATGGTGATGATAACGATGATGAGGATGATGATCATTGTGATGAAGTTAATGATGATAATGTTATAATGATAAGATGACAATGATGATGATGATAATAATGATGATAATGATGATAATGATGATGATGATAATGTTGATAATGATGAGTATGATGTTAATGATGATACAGATGATAATAATGATAATGATGATAATGATGATAGTGATGATAATGATGATAATGATGATAATGATGATAATGATGATAATGATGATAATGATGATAATGATGATAATGATGATAATGATGATACTGATGATACTGATGATAATGATGATAATGATGATAATGATGATAATGATGATAATGGTAATGATGGTAATAATGATGATAATGATGATAATGATGATAATGATGATAATTATGACAATTATGACAATGATGACAATGATGACAATTATGATAATGATGATAACAATGATAACGATGATAACGATGATAATGATGATAATGATGATAATGATGATAATGATGATAATGATGATAATGATGATAATGATGATAATGATGATAATGATGATAATGATGATAATGATGATAATGATGATAATGATGATAATGAGGATTACGATGATAAATATAGAGATTATGATGATGATTATGATGAATACGCTAATGAATACGTTTGATTAATATGGTGATGAGTATGATGATGATGATGATAATTAAGAAGATGAAATTAATGAAAAGGATCATGATTATGAATGATGGTCATTATTATAGTATTGATAGTGATAATGAAAATGATGATTATGGTGATGATGAAAATGAAGTTGATGGTTATGGGGGTTCTAATGGTGTTGAAGATGAAGATGTTGGTGGTGATGATAGTGATGATATTTATCACAATGATTTTTATGGTAATAATGATAAGTATTATAATGTTTATGACAGTTGTTGTGTAGATGGGACTATAAAAATGTTTGGGATGATGATGAGTATGATGATGATAATTATGATGAAGGTGATAATGGCGTGTTTGTGTTTATAATGATGATGATAATGTTTATTTTGATGATGATGATGCTGTTGCTGAGGAGAATTATTATTATAATTATTAAGGATGATAAATATGGGAAATTGGGATCAAACAGTAACCAATGACCAGGAAGTTGGGGTCAAACAGCAACCAATGGCTGGGAAGTTCGGGTCAAACAGTAACCAATTACCGGGAAGTTGGGGTCAAACAGTAACAAATTGCCGGGAAGTTGGAGTCAAACAGTAATCAATGACCGGGAAGTTGAGGTCAAATAGTAACCAATGGCCGGGAAGTAAGGGTCAAACTGTAACCAATGTCCGGGAAGTTGGGGTCATAGAGTAACCAAATGCTGGAAAGTGGGGGTCAAACCGTAACCTATCTCTGGGAAGTTTGGGTAAAACAGAAACCAATGACAGTAAAGTTTGGGTCAAACAGAAACCAATGACCGGGAAATTGGGGTTAAGCAGTAACCAATGACCGGGAAGTTGGGTCAAACAGTAAAAATGACTGGGAAGTTGTGGTCATACAATTAGCAATGACCGGGAAATTGGGGTTAAGCAGTAACCATGACCGAGAATTTGGGGTCAAGCAGAAACCAATGACCGGGAAGTTGGGGTCAAAATAACCTATGTCCGGGATGTTGGTGTCAATAATAAATATTAATTGCTGGCAAGTTGGAGTCAAACAGTAACCAATGACCGGGAAAATGGGGTCAAACGGTAACCAATGACTGGGAAGTTGTGGTCAAATAGTAACCAATGGCCAGGAAGTTGTGGTCAAACAGTAAACAATGGACGGGAATTTGGCATCAAACAGTAACCAATGACCGATAATTTGTGGTCGAGCAGTAACCAATGACCGGGAAGTTGTGGTTAAACACCGCTCAATGACCGAGAATTTGGGGTCAAACATTTATCTTTGACCGGTATTCTATTTGTTAGGCCATAATTTAAATTGTCTCTATTGAACGGAAAAGTTTCCTCCGACCTTAATAACGAAGACAGCCATTAATGATTAGCGATCAAGTTTGTCTGTTGAAACATGTAATTAGTGGCGGCCATAATTGACTTCACTGCTATATTAGAAATTTGTTAGCGATACACAGATGTTTGGTGACGCGATGGTGAGTAGGTGTTTAAACACATAAGGCACACTTTCTAGGTCATATTTTGACTATTAAAACACAAGTTGATTTTAAAAATATTTAGACTGATTCAATAAATAAAAATTATGTTAAGGGTTAAAAATAAAATACAAGACAATATATTTGTCTTTTACATAAGTTGTTGTTTTTTAATATATGTATTATTTATTATTGTATAGCCTTTTGAAGAAGGCGTCTTGCCGATACATCTGCTTAATTGTCTTCTTTCTTATTAATACGCCAAAAAATTTCTTGTTCCACTATTTATTTATTTTGAAGGGTTTGAAAACAGTCCCTCATATATAATCGTTAAAGCTTTAGTTACATCTTGAATGTTGCGTAATGAACACTAGTTTTTGGAATCGTATTCTCAAATTACACTAGATGGAATAGAACATAAAAAGAATAATATTTCAATTTACAATATTTTATCCTAAGCAGGTGTGACCAGCTTGTAGCCAGGTGCAATACACATTTTGATCGGCCAGCTGTATTATGACTTTCTTCTTTCAAATTTCGTTTCTTTGAATTCTTGTTTTAATCGTGCTTTGAAATTCGTGAAATACAATTTTTTAAAGAGTTACATCTAAACACAATCTAATCAATTAACTTTTCTCATTTTTGTAGCAACTAAATTTGTTTTCATCACCAGAGATGTATATGTGTTTAAGAATCTATATATATAATTTGATTAATTTGCCAGACACTAGAGCAAACAACAAGACGCCCACCACACAGACTATAGGGATACTGGATGCTTAAAAATCCCGGAATTGGATTTATGAAAATCGGGATTTTCAAAATTTCCGCTATTTCATTTTCAAAAAAAACAAAACTGTTCCTCTTAGTTTCCATGTCGAAGTTAATGCAAGACATATAAATAATTTATTTAAAAATGCGAACCCTCCACACACAGTGTCTAAAGCTCAAAGAGAGATGAGTTAAGCTCTCTCTGACACTGGATGAATGGAAGAGTTAAGCTCTCTCTGACACTGGATGAATGGACAAATTAAGCTATGTATGACGCTGGATGAATGGACGAGTTAAGCTCTCTCTGACACTGGATGAATGGACGAGTTAAGCTCTCTCTGACACTGGATGAATAGACGAGTTAAGCTCTCTCTGATACTGGATGAGTTAAGCTCTCTCTGACACTGGATGAATGGACGAGTTAAGGAAATCGCTGTTCTATTAACGTAAACATTCATAGTCCTATTTTAATCAATGATTTTGTCTATCTTGGCCTAGTAAGAGTCATTGACATCTCACGCTGCTTAAAATGAGTACACGTGCTCACATTTTGTGTAACAAAATGAGTGCACATTCTGACATGGTGTGTCATAAATGAGTGCACATGCTAACATGGTGTGTCACAAAATGTGTGAACATGCTCATATGGTGTCATAAAATAAGTGCACAAACACACATGCTGTGTCATAAAGGGAGTGCACATGCTGTGTCATAAAGTAAGTGCACATGCTTATCCGCTGTGTCACAAATATTGTGCACATTCTTATCCCTCATGTCAAAAATGATTTCGTATGTTAATCAGTTGTGTTACAAAATGAGTTCACATGCTATTCTGCTGTGTCGCAAAATGAGTTCACATGCTAATCCTTTGTGTCATAAAATTATGAGATATCAACTTAACAAACTTGATAAAATAAAAAAATTAATTATAACACAAATGAAACTAAACATCACAATAATAAGAAACCAAATATCACAATAATATGAAACTAAATATCATGTTATGCACTGACTTGTATTGGGAGAAATTAATCTCCTATTTTAATTTTAATTGGCTCGTTGTAACAGTGCCTAACAAAGGACGATGCCATAGAATCAAAAATATTAAAGATACGAAACCCAAAGCAGTTTCTAGTTACAAATAATAAGATTTATAAGTCTTAATATAATTACAAAAGAAAATAAACTATCATGACAATCTTCAACTTACAGTATGGTAGATCTTGTACCTGTACACAGTTAGCACAGTTAAAATAAAGTGCCAATGAATAATGCGAAATAAACACATATGAGCTCACAAATACACAAAGGATAAAACACGTCTTGTGAAGTTAATACAATCTATCTGAATCTCCTCCTCCGTACGTGCCTGTCAATCCCTTATATAGGTCATGTAAGCCCTGCCTTCCAGAAAGACTTATGACGTTTCTAGAACAATCACAATCATTCTACAAAATACAATTTGTAACAGATTAATTGTTTTGAGTGGCTGGTGGCATAAACACGACAGATCAAACGACTAAGCCACGCCCCTCTGTGAACACAGCGTCTCATGCGGGGTCAATCATAGGGCAAGCACGAGAAAAATTATGTAAACAAGCACTATATAGTATCACAATAATAAGAAACTAACTATCACAATAATATGAAACCAAGCATCACAATAATATGAAACTAAATATCACAATAATATGAAATTAAATATCACAATAATATGAAACCAAAGGTCACAATAAGTCTGTTCAATATAGAATGAGAGGCTAATTCCTTTATTAATATTGATTATCTTTCTTATCCTTCTAGAGCAAAATGTTCCACTCTTCTCAAGTCTTTCTCCTGATGGCGGTGTGCCTTCTTAGGATTTCAGCTCAACCTAAAAATCTTAAGAACGATGTTGTCAAGAAGTTTCTTGATTCTCATAATCGGGGCCGTCGAGAAGTCTCAGTTCCAGATTTGGTTAGTTATACATTCTTACATTTGGGGCCATCAAGATGTATCAATTCCAGATTTGGTTAGTCATACATTCTTATAATTGGGGCCATCAAGCAGTATCAGTTCCAGATTTGGTTAGTTATACAATCTTATAATCGGGGCCGTCGAAAAGACTCAGTTCCAGATTTGGTTAGTTATACTTTCTTATAATCGGGGCTATCAAGAAGTCTCAGTTCCAGATTTGGTTAGTTATACATTCTTATAATCGGGGCCATCAAGAAGTCTCAGTTCAAGATTTGGTTAGTCATACATGCTCATAAATTAGGCCGTAAAGAAATAGAGTTCTAGATTTGGTAATTTTAAATTTACTCAGAAAAAATATTTTGACATTGTTTTAACATCATATTTTTTGTTCTTAAGAAATTATTAACATCGAAAGTGATTTTTTTTACACACATAGTTTTTATGAAAAGATAAGAAATTGAAATTAATTTTGACGAAGTTTGAAGGCCTACATTTGACGACAAGTCATAATATAAAGCTGAGCTCTGCAACCTTATTTAATGCGTGGAACACCTTAACAATTTCTTAGAATCAAACGGCACACAACCAAGAAAAACATGCACAACTAGTGTACGTAGTGAACATTGAAATAAAGTAGACCCAGTAGAGACCTTATTAACATTCATAATGTCATGTAAAAAACTGTGGGGATTTAATTCAAGTCAATATTCAAATCTAGGTATGGAATTCTACACTTGCCACATCTGCGGCTAGCCACGGGGCAAGGTGTGTCATTGAACACAGCCAGGGCGACCATGGAGAGAACTTGTATTTCTCAAAACGTAAGTCTGAGTTAACAAAATATTAGGATTAGGGTTAGGATTAGGGTTAAGTTATATACTTCTAATAGCCAAAATATTATAGAAACAGTAAACACCACATTTCTAAAGTTTGAATTCCAGATTGACTAGGGAACATACATATTTGAATTGCTAGGTTTAAAAATAAACAATTGATTTCTATCATTTTTAGTTCGCTATTTTTAAAGTGAACAATATATTTCTAGTCATGTTTGGTTTGCTATGATTTAATTAAAAGTATATTTCTAGACTTGTTTTTTTTGCTAGCGTTCAATTAAGCAATATATTTCTAGTCAAGAGACAAAAAACAGTAAAAAAACAAATAAAATAACAATAAAACTTTCGCTGCAATGTAAGATCTGAGGTTAGCAAGACACATACACAAACATACACACTCAATTGATGTCTGAGAGGATAGTAAGACACATACACAAACATACACAATCCATTGATGTCTGAGAGGATAGTAACACATATACACAAACATACACGCTTCAATTATGTCTGAGAGGATAGTAAGACACATACACAATCAAACACACTTCCTTGATGTTCTCTCGGATACTACATTTCAACGAAATGTTTGTTGGCTAAATATCCTTTTGCCTAATGCCTAAATTGTCTCTACTTAAACTCGTTGATAAATTTAATAAGTGCTATGTTCATTTGAATTAGCTTTATGTTATTTATACTGCTTTCGATAATTCATTAACTGACTACCAAAACATTCGTGTTTTTTTTTTAATTCTTCTTGATTTGTCTTTGAGCGATCATTGAGGACACATAGATAATTACTCTTTACCATTGAGGACACATGGCTAGTTACTCTTTGAACACAATGTTAAAAAAAATGAAACTTGTTTTTTTTTTAAATGTCGTTTATGATCGCATTTTTGAATCGATTACAACAGCAAGAAATGACGATTTACTTAAACTATCGGAAGATGCTGTGGGCAGTTGGCTCTCTGAGAAACCTGCTAATGTCGACACCAAATGGCCATGTCTCCAAGATCTTTCTTGTGGTCATTACACCCAGGTAGGCCTTTAAATTTTATTTGTATGAAGTTTTGAACAATGTATCCACGTTGTGGGTATATTCGTTTCACATTTACATTGACTCTGAACAATGAATCTGAATTTAGGTTTATTATTTTCTAATTAAAATCACAATGAATATTGTATCCACCTAATGGGTATTTTTATTTTATTTACACTCAGAATCAATACTTTATCTACAAAAAAAAAATATGTATTCATATCTTATTTGCACTGAAAATAAATTAAATATTGTATCAACTTTATAAATATTTTTATTTCTCATTAACAGTAACCATAACACTAACCCTACCCTGAGACTAAACCTAATATTAACACTAACATTAAACCTAAACTTAATATCAACCCTAACACTGACCGTAACTCTAACACTAACCCTAACACTAACCCTAATCCTAATACTAATGCTAATATTAAAAGTAAACCTAACCCTAACACTAAAACTTACACTTACCCTAATTCTAACCCTAACACTAACCCTAAGCCTAACATTGACCCTAACCCTCAACTTAACAGTAACCCTAAAACTGACCCTAACCCTAACACTAACCCAGTTTATTTATTTCTAACTAACAATAAAAAATTCGTAGTTAAAAGAAACGAAAACGTATTTTTTTTTCTTTATTTTTTTTAAAAAATAATTCACATATGTTACATGTTAGTGGCAGGATAAGCATGTCGGTTTGCATAAATGTCCAATCAAGTTGTCAAGTTAAATATTTCGACAACCCTAACCCTAACCCGGTTTGCATAAATGTCCCGTCAAGCTAAATAACTTTTGAGAAAATTATAAGGACAATATATCAAAAGCTTTGTTTCATTTTTTTTTTAAATGGATGTACTGAAAAAATAACAACTTTTTAAAATTATTTTTTTAAAAGGCATACAATATTTCCCCAACACGAACCCTAACACTAACCCTAACCTAACACTAACCCTAACTTAAACGGAATTATTTCCTAGATGTTATTTATTTGTGTTATATTAGACTTAAAACCCCCCACTATATTTTGTAATTGATAATATCATTATTGAAGGGGAAAATCTGATTGTTATCTACAGATTGTGTGGAGAACCACCAAAACAGTAGGATGCGCCATTGTTCATTGTGCCAGTTATTGGGAAAATTTCGTTGTATGTCAGTATTACCCGCCGTGAGTAAAAGCAAATATGAATTCAAATATAGCTTCCAACAGTAAGATCAAAAGAGCGTTTGATTCCAACTTAACCTAAACTCAATAATAATGGCTGTGACTATTCGTACCCGGGTACAAGAAGTGAGAGGTTGGGAGTAAAAACTATTTAAAATATTATTGTTGGGTTTGTAAGACAAAACAAGATATTAAATGAACGATAATTGAATGGACTATATGTTTGTAGACGTAATTTTTCAGTTTAACTAAAATAAACGACCACAAATGACATTTGGATAGCATTGTTCTAATGGGACGCGGGTGCGAATGGCGGCGCTGCGTGTCCGGGGCCATTTTGACTAAATCCGAACCTCTCCCTTCTAAAGCCTGGGTACGAATAGTCACTCCGTTAAAACAATATAATATTTTCTTTATAAACGAGTTTTATTTGCAATGTTGGATTGCAAAATTAACATTTTACCAATTTTGTTTTCATTTACTTTTATGTTTCAAATGGCTGAAATCATTGATTTATTTATTAATGGTCCACTTTTGTAATGTGTCAAATTCTACCCTACCCTAACCATAACTTAACCTTAACCTAAACCCAACCTTAACTTTCATCATTGATTTATTAATGGTCCATTCTTGTAATATGTAAAATCCTTTTGATAAAATAAATTGACTTTCAGCGAAATTGGATTAAAATTACTTTAGTATAATCCATCATTATCTGTCATTAACTGTCAATAACTATCTATAACTGTCACGGTTATATAAAAATATTTTTAACATAAATTTAAAATTGAACCTTTATGTTCTCTTCTCAGAGGGAATTATATAGGCCAGAAGCCATATTGAGACTGGAATGACGCCACTTTCAATTCAACAAAGTAAGTAGCTCTACAGTTTTGTACAGAACGTCATTGATATTTCTAGTCTCACTCCTGGCCTTACTTTATTTATAGTCCTTATCTTGCTCTTGGCCTTACTTTATTTATAGTCTTTATCTTGCTCCTGGCCTTATATTATTTATTTTCTTTTAGGTTAATTTTATTTACTCATTTGTAGATATTAGCCTATTTATATTTTTTTTTTAAAATCTAATATGTGGAAATTAATTTACACTTGGAATCAACTATAAAATCTGTCTGTCAGGCTTTTAAAAAAAAATATTATTTTAAAACAAAATACAAGTCAGTTACAACTGAAGAAAGACATTTAAGTACCCTAAATACAGAGTTATATGTTTTCCAATGGGGTTAATTTTTGTTTCAGGTCTTCCAAGAGGCCATCTTCGAAATCGAATATCAATTTATGTGTTTGTGACAGTATATATTTAAACAGATTTCACGATACCTTCTTATCCGTAAAACAATTATTTATAAATGTATGTGTGAACATTTCATATAAATAAGACGATTACAAATGTAGATCTCTATGAGTTTATACCCAAACTCTCTTCATCATGCGGGAAAAGAAGAACATTTTCCTCTTTGAAATATCTTTAAATTTAAACTTTTCCATGTATTCAAACTCTCAGAGTCATTAGAAATGTGTTTGCAGCATAATGTTGTTCAAAAAATGTTGTAAAATGTTGCTGTTGCTTATTTGTATTGATAAATTCAAAAAAGCTTTTTGTACAGTTACAGCTCAAGTGTTATTGAAATGTATTAACTGTACGATTGTTGGATTCCAATAACTCTTAATAAGTTGAAAGACTCTGATTTAATGTAAGCCACACGGATAGTTAAGCTTAACCGAAACCCTAACCCTAAGACTCTCTCAATTAACGTAAGTTTACTCGTATGGTTAAGTTAAGCCTAACCTTAACCTGTAACCCTAAGACTCTCTCAATTAACGTAAGCTACAAGTACAGTTAAGTTAAGCCTAAACTTGTCCCTACCCTAAGACTCTCTCAATCAACGTAGGCTACACGTATCGTCTAGCTTAGTTCATTTTTATTTTTGTTTGGATGGGTGGGGGGGGGCGGGGCAAATTAAAATTAAATAAAATGGGTACATGCCATTATCATTGATTTTTGTGTGCTTCATTTCCACAATATGCAACCTACGAGATTAAATGTGAAAAAAAGATTGTCACAACTGACGTACAATCATACAATAATGGAAACTTAAAGGGAAAGTAGGTGAAGGAAGGATGTGAGTAGATGTTGGGAAGAGGTGGTGTGAGTAGATGGTGCAAGGAGATGGTGCGAGGAGATGGTGGGAGTAGATGGTGTGAGTAGATGGTGGGACTAGATCGTGTGAAAAGATGGCGTGAGTTAATTTTTGGGAGCAGATGGTGGGAGTAGATGGTGGGAGTAGATGGTGTGAGTAGATGGTGTGAGTTAATGGTGGGAGCAGATGGTGGGAGTAGAGTGTGTGAATAGATGGTGTGAGTAGATGGTGTGAGTTAATGGTGTGAGTAGATGGTGGGAATAGATAGTGGGAGTAGATGGTGGGAGTAGATGGTGTGAGTAGATGGTGGGAGTTAATGGTTGTAGTAGATGGTGGGAGTAGATAGTGGGAGAAGATTGTGGGAGTAGATGGTGTGAGTAGATGGTGGGAGTAGGTGGTGTGAGTTGATGGTGGGAGTAGAGGATGTGATTAGATGGTGTGAGTAGATGGTGTGAGTTAATTATGCGAGTAGATGGTGTGAGTAGATGGTGTAAGTTAATGGTGGGAGCAGATGGTGGGAGTAGAGTGTGTGAATAGATGTTGTGAGTAGATGGTGTGAGTAGATGGTAGAAATAGATGGTGTGAGTTAATGGTGGGAGTAGATGGTGGGAGTAGATGGTGGGAGTAGATGGTGTGAGTAGATGGTGTGAGTTAATGGTGGGAGTAGATGGTGGGAATAGATAGTGGGAGTAGATGGTGTGAGTAGATGGTGTGAGTTAATGATGTTAGTAGATGGTGAGTAGATTGTGGGAGTAGATGGTGTGATTTGATGGTGGGAGTAGAGGATGTAATTAGATGGTGTGAGTAGATGGTGTGAGTTAATGATGCGAGTAGATGGTGGGAGAAGATGGAGGGAGTAGATGATGGGAGTAGATGGTGTGAGTAGATGGTGGGAGTAGAGGATGTGAGTAGATGGTGGAGTAAATGGTGTGAGTAGATGGTGTGAGTAGATGGTGTGAGTAGATGGTGTGAGTAGATGGTGTGAGTAGATGGTGTGAGTAGATGGTGGGAGTAGATGGTGGGAACAGATGTTGGAACTAAATGGGAGAAGATAGTGGGAGTAGATTGTGGAACTACTAGATGGGAGTAGATGGTGTACGTAGATGGTGGGAGAAGATGATGGGTGTAGATTGTGTGAGTAGATGGGAGTAGATGTTTTGAGTAGATTTTGTCAGTAGATGGTGGGAGTAGATGGTGGGAGTAAATGGTGGGAATAGATGGTGGAAGTAGATGGTGGGAGTAGTAGTTGAATAGACGGTGGGAGTAGATGGTAGGTGGCTTCGCCTGAAAGAATTCTTGGATATTTAAGAAGCTCAAAATTGCATTTCAGAAAAAAATTAAAGTATTAAAATTGAATGCAGATATCAAAAAGCCAAAAATTGCGAAGGGATCATTGAAATAGCCAATGAGCTTTCCATTTATGGAAATTTGACAGAATAGAATATAATAAAACTCAATGCCTGAGGGTGGGTAAATTTAAATGGGGATCCAATCGAATATAATAGGGGTCATTATATATTATTTATAATTTGATAATTTATTTAGAGTAAAAATATATAAATGTGTTTGTGTTTAAAATGTGTCAAACAAAACTAATCAAAATTGTGAGAAGATGATAAAATGAAAACATATTATTCCAAAATTGTTGAGAAGTTTATAGAAAGAAAACATATTATTCCAAAATGGTGAGACGTTAATAAAATGAAAACATATGGTGGAATAGTGACAAGATGTTTGTGTTAAGACATATATTCAACAAATTGAAAATGTAATCAGATCATAATATTTCCTCTTAAATGGTGACAAGTTGAAAATATCAAAACATAAATTGCAAAATGAGGAAAATGATAATATGAAAATGTATTTTTCAGAGCGAAATTTGATAACAAACAAACTATATCCCAACATTTTGTCAGGTGATAATATCAAAACATTTAACCCTAGATAATGAAAGGTGATAATATCAAAACATTTAACCCTAGATAATGAAAGGTGATAATATCAAAACATTTAACCCTAGATAATGAAAGGTGATAATATCAAAAAATTTAACCCTAGATAATGAAAGGTGATAATATCAAAACATTTAACCCTAGATAATGAAAGGTGATAATATCAAAAAATTTAACCCTAGATAATGAAAGGTGATAATATCAAAAAATTTAACCCTAGATAATGAAAGGTGATAATATCAAAACATTTAACCCTAGATAATGAAAGGTGATAATATCAAAACATTTAACCCTAGATAATGAAAGGTGATAATATCAAAACATTTAACCCTAGATAATGAAAGGTGATAATATCAAATCATATATTACAAAGTAGCCAGAACGTGATAAAATCAATTTATATATCTCAAAAGGTTGAGAATATGAAACAGACTATCCCAAACATCGACAAGGTAATATTATAGCAACCTATCTTTAAATAACGACAAGGTGATATTATAACAAAATGTCTACAAATAGTGACAATGTGATATTATAACAACAAATATATAAATAACGAAAAAGTGATAAAACAAAATATATACAAATAGCGACAAGAGTATATTATAATAACTTGTCTATAAATAGCGACAAGAGGATATTATAACAATGTGTTTATACATAGCGACAAGATAATGATAATTGCTTAAATCTTCATCCCTTACACATGACCCACTAACCTCATCGGTTTATGTCAGGTCTTTATCTCTAATACATGACCTACTTACCTCATCAGTTTATGTCAGGTCTTCATCCCTAATACATGACCTGTTAACTTCATCATTTTATGTCAGGTCTTTATCCCTAATACATGACCTGCTAACCTCATCAGTTTATGTCAGGTCTTCATTCCTAATACATGACCTGCTATCCTGATCAGTTTATGTCGGGTCTTCATTCCTAATACGTGACATGCTAACTTCATCAGTTTTTGTCAGGTCTTCATCCCTAATACATGACCTGCTATCCTTATCAGTTTTTGTGAGGTCTTCATCCCTAATACATGACCTGCTATCCTCATCAGTTTATGTCACCTCTTCATCCCTAATACATGACCTACTAACCACATCAGTTTATGCCCATAAAGAAAATTTCCAGTTATTAAAAAAACAATAAAATAATAATTTCATGTCATATAATGTCATGTCAAATAATGCCATGTTTTTTCCGAGCAGATGACTTAAAAATAAAATTAAAAAGTAATGACATTTCATTAAATGTCATGTCTTATTACAAGCAGATAACTGTTAAATAAAATTTAAAAAGTAATGACTTGTCATATAATGTCATGTCACGTTCCAAGCAAAAGAATTCAAATAAAAATGAAATATTAATGATATGTCATTTAATGTCATGTCTTATTACATTCAGATGAATTTAAAATAAAATTAAAACAGTTATAACATGTCTTATAATTTTATGTTTTATTTCAAGTAGATGACATTTAGGTAGAAAAACACAATGGCGAAAATTGCTATGATGAGTCCAAGTGTGTGTATGTGAAAGTCTATGTGTGAGTATGTGAGAGTCTATGCGTGTGTATATGAGCAGGCCCGTTGACAGAAATTTCGGGCCCCTGGGCAGGGCTGTCACGGGCCCCCCGAGGTTTGAGCCTCTAAACTATCTTTAGGCTTTATGAGAATTTTTTTTTTAAATTGACAGAGCGTATACTTTGTACTGTTGTACACTTAAATAAGGTATGCTTTTATTCAGTTGTCATTTGAAAAAAATTGTATTTTAAATGTATGGTTTAATGGTAGCCTATAATATTAAATTCAGTTGTTTTCAAAAATAAACTTTTCTTGATTTGGCTGAAGCAAAATCGTTAATAATATCATAGCCAGTGTGGACGTGTTCAAAATAGAGACCGTCACGGGCTGAATTTACCAAGCCCGGTCTCTCTGGTCGTGTCACGTGTGACTCGTGTTCAAAAATTGATGTTTATTTCAGCAGAAGAATGTACTATGAAGACGGATTGACGGAATTGCATAAAAATGGTAAAATGGTAAATAAGTACGGCAATATTCAGATGCTTGAAGTTTAATCTGATTGTAATTAAGTTTAGTTAAGTTATATTTACAAAAGCATAAGTAATACATTTTTTATAGCTGATCACAATATTTTCAAAAGTTGATTGCGGGCCCGGGCCGGGCCCCTAAAACTCGCCGGGCCCCTGGACATTTACCCCCCTGCCCCCCTTCTCGGCGGGCCTGTATGTGAGAGTATATGTGTGTGTATGTGAGAGAATGGGGTTAGAGAATGTTTTGCGTGTGTGTTGTGTATGTGGGTATGTGTGCATGTGTGTGTTTTGGTGAGGTTGCATGCATGTACGCTCTATTGACGTCTGAGTTTTGTGCCACATTCACTACATTAATTTTTTTGATTGAAGATCAGACGACGATAACCCTAACCCTAACCCTAACCCTAACCTACACTGCTTTATTTTTTTCTATTGAAATCGAACGATGCTAATCCTATTCCTAACAATGCTGAACAAGAAGATAGAGATAATTTGTGTTTATGGATTCGTTGTTGATGGAAGTTTTTTGGTCACTTATCATGAAAATAGAGAGATTATATTCTCCTGTTAACATTCCATAAGATAGCACGGATGGCACTTCTTGATATAGCACAGATGACATTCCCTGAGATAGCACAGATGACATTTCCTGAGATAGCACGGATGACATTACCTAAGATAGCACAGATTACATTCCCTAAGATGGCACGGATGACATTCCTAAGGTAGCACAGATGAAAAACTTTGAGATAGCACCGATGACATTCCCTGAGATAGCACAGATGACATTCCCAAAGATAGCATGGATGACATTCCCTAAGATAGCAAGGATGACATTCTCAGAGATAGCCCAGATGACATTCCCAAAGATAGCACGGATGATATTCCCTGAGATAGCACAAATGACATTCCCTAAGATAGCATGGATGACATTTCTTGAGATAGCACGGATGACATACCCTGAGATAGCACGGATGACATTCCCTGTGATAGCACGGATGACATTCCCTGTGTTAGCATGGATGACATTCCCTGTGATAGCATGGATGACATTTCTTGAGATAGCACGGATGACGTTCCCTTAGATAGCATGGATGATATTCCCTGTGATAGCACGGATGACATTTCCTGATATAGCAAGGATTACATTCCCTGAGATAGCGTTGATGACATTCCCTAAGATAGCATGGATGACATTCCTTGAGATACCAAAAATGACATTCCCTTAGATAAACCGGATTATATTCCCCAAGTTAGTATATATGACATTACCAGGGATAGCACAGATGACATTCCTAAGATAGTGCTGATGACATTCCTTGAGATAGCACGATGACATTCCCTGAGATAACACACATGACATTCCCTGAGATAGCACGGATGACATTGCCAGAGATAGCACGGATGACATTCCCTAATATAGAAAGGAGGACGTTCCCTAAGATAGCACGGATGACATTCTCTAAGATAGCCTGGATGACATTCCCTAAGATAGCAAGGATGACATTCCCTAAGATAGCATAGATGACATTCCCAGAAATAGCACGGATTACATTCCCTAAGATAGCACGGATGACATTCACTAAGATAGCACGAATGACATTCCCTAAGATAGAAAGGACTACATTCCCAGAGATAGCACAGATGCCATTCCCAAAGATAGCACGGATGACATTCTCTGAGTTAGCACAAATGACATTCCCTGAGATAGCACGGATGACATTCCCTAACATAGCACGGATGATATTCCCTTAGATAGCACGGATGACATTCCCTAAGATAGCAAGGAGGACATTCCCTAAGATAGTACGGATGACATTTCCTAAGATAGCAAGGAGGACATTCCCTAAGATAGCATGGAGGACATTCCCTAAGATAGCACGGATGACATTCCCTAAGATAGCAAGGAGGACATTCCCTAAGATAGCAAGGAGGACATTACCTAAGATAGCAAGGAGGACATTCCCTAAGATAGCACGGATGACATTCCCTGAGATTGCAGGGAGGACATTCCCTAAGACAGCGCGGATGATGCAATGATTTTCCGATAGTTCAGTTAATCTGAAGGGTGGAAATAATGAAACTTTGAAAGGTCATGTCCCTTGTATTGTAAATTTCTACCGTCTTACTTCTAGAAAACGTATAAATCTAACAAATGAAATGGTATTTTACAGTATTCTTATAAACACAGCTGTCATAACTGGAATGAGTACTGTAATTATCCTCAAAAATGTGCTCATGTCCAAACTGCTACAACTATTCATAGAATATCTAATGAAGTATTTCTTGCACAAATTCTGATTGGCGTCCGGCACAACGATGAAACCAAAACTTCGACCTTCAACTTGAACGTCGCCCGCAACTTTCAGAGGTGGCGTTGGCGGCACTGCGTCCCCGATCATGTTCAGCTTCTTACCATTTAAAAGAACACGCCTGTAAGGATCCAAACAAATGAGAAGTATATATGATAATGACTAAATGTAAGTCTAGGAATGTGGATCACTTCCTCATTTAAAAATATATGATGACGACTAGATGTAAGTCTAGTAATGTGAATTACTTCCTCATTTTAAAATGGGTTTATACTGGAAAATAATTGACTAATGAGTTTTCATATATTTGATATCTAATGACCTTACGGGAAAATTCGCCCAGATTCATCAGAGTCTGTTAATTTCTACAACTCAAGTCCAACAATGCACACTATTTACAATTAATTATATTGTATTCTGCCCTAATGGGAAGAATGGCCTAAATATTTTCTTTCTTTTTATTTCTTTTTTTTTTTTTTGATTAAGTAAATTGTCTTTCTCTTTGTTATTTTTTTTTCTATTTATTTTTCGATTTATGTCAATTAAATTTTTAGCAATTAATAAAATTTGGGAAGAATGGCCTAAATATTTTTTTTTTTTTTATTTCTTTTTTTTTTTTGATTAAGTAAATTGTCTTTCTCTTTGTTATTTTTTTTTCTATTTATTTTTCGATTTATGTCAATTAAATTTTTAGCAATTAAGAAAATGCGTCTACCAAAGAAGCCAAAAACGGGTGACGTCATCATTTGTTGTCCTAATTTAGGTCTTTAATGTAATACACTACAAGGGAAAGAAGTGATATGGGTCTTTGATTATCTACCTCTGAAATAAGTGAAAATATATTGGTCATAGGAAGAAATTTACCTTGCAGCTAAATCTCCTTTTTCTGGAGTTAAACTATAGACATCCTTTACGTGGTCTGCAAACTGAGCCAAATTTAGCTTACACGGTTTCTTTGCAAGATTCAAATAGTAGACAACTATGGCCCCTGGGTTGTATCTGTGTTGGAAATTGGAGAGTTACAACTTTTAAATAGAACGATTTCCAAGCATATTTTAATATCCTGCACATTTATAATTTTTTTTAAAACTATGAACTGTCTCACAACCTCTACAGCAGTTACAATCAAAGGGGGGGGGGGGGATGGTAAGGAGAGAATCGAAAGGTCTCCTAATATGTTCTTTGAAATACATACAGAGCTAAAAAATTGTTAAAAATAAACATGCGAATTATTACATAAGTTAATCGAAATCCCTAGGATGAAACCTCTTATATAACATATCACTGTTAGGTTTAGGGTTAGGGTTAGGGTTAGGGATTGGGTTTAAAGTTAGGTTAATGGTATGTGGTAGACTTACATTTCTTTGTAACATGAGTTTAATGAGCACTTCATTTAACATGCTAGTCAGAAATTCATCAAACTGATAAGCATGTCAATTTTAAACTAAGTTTCCCAGCTTCTTTCAACTATGTGGTGGCAAAAATCATGAATCGAACCAGGATATGATCTAGAGTCGTTTCATTTCAGTTCCGCCGGGTGTCGAACTAGGATATGAGCTAAACTAGTTTCATTTCAGTTCAGCCATGGATCGAACCAGGACTGGAGCTAAAGTAATTTCATTTCAGTTCAGCCATGGATCGAACCAGGACTGGAGCTAAAGTAATTTCATTTCAGTTCAGTAAAAAAGATGAAACCAAAACAAACTCGTATTTTTTTTTTTATTTTGGTGAGGGTAGTTTTTGGTTGTACCTTAAACCAGATGATGCCATAAAAGTTGATTTCAAAAAGAGAGTCTGTGGAAATTCTAAGAAAACATATCCACACACTTAAGACGAGATTTTTAAAATTTTCACTTACAGCCCCACGCGTGCACAGTTGCAATACACCCTCAGCTGTGTGGCGGGGCTTATTACTTTAAACACAGGACCTTCTACTAATCTCTTGAACAGAAGAGATAGATAGTAATCCTGAAACAGATTAGAAAGATAGTAATCCTGACAATAAATAATTATGTAATTGTCATGATTAGTGTATATGGACATCCGAATAAAATGTTTCAGTATTGTAGCTCGATTAGTGTATAACAAATAAAATATTTCAATATTGTAGCTCGATTAGTGTATAACAAATAAAATATTTCAATATTGTAGCTCGATTAGTGTATAACAAATAAAATAGTTCAATATTGTAGCTCGATTAGTGTATAACAAATAAAATATTTCAATATTGTAGCATGATTAGTGTATAACAAATAAAATATTTCAATATTGTAGCATGATTAGTGTATACCAAATAAAATGTTTCAGTATTGTAGCATGATTAGTGTATAACAAATAAAATATTTCAATATTGTAGCTCGATTAGTGTATAACAAATAAAATATTTCAATATTGTAGCATGATTAGTGTATACCAAATAAAATATTTCAATATTGTAGCATGATTAGTGTATACCAAATAAAATGTTTCAGTATTGTAGCATGATTAGTGTATAACAAATAAAATGTTTCAGTATTGTAGCATGATTAGTGTATAACAAATAAAATATTTCAGTATTGTAGCATGATTAGTGTATACCAAATGAAAGTTTTTAAAAAATTACTAGTACAATGTTTACGGTGCAATGCAGAACCGATATTCTCGACTTTAAAAAATTAAAAAACAAAAAGATAGATTTACAAATATCAATATTTATTTTTTTACTTTTTCTTGTCTTCCATTTTTTTTTTTTTTTTTTTTTTTTTTTTAAAATAAATTTTTAAAATTAAAAAACAAAAAGATAGATTTACAAATATCAATATTTATTTTTTTACTTTTTCTTGTCTTCCATTTTTTTTTTTTTTTTTTTTTTTTTTAAAACAAATTTTCGGCCATGTTAGCGGAATAAGTTAATTTTCTGCCGTTTCTGCATTGGCTAAAAAATACTGCTTTAAATACATTTAAAGGAAAGCGCTTTTATCGGATTGGAATTCATAAGGTATGTCCAAATTGTTGTCAAACATAGTAGCTTGATAAGCCTGATCATGAATAATTCATTTCATAAAATTTAACGTGCACTTACCGGTGTGGGTTGCTTATTTCTAATACTGAAGAGACCATAATGCCCACCATAAAAGGTCTGACGATGGACAACAGTTACACCATTTAAAGCAGATTGACCCAACTTGTCCAGCCAACTGAAATATGAACATCTATCAAGTTTGTTTTCAGATCACCAGCAAGATATTTTGTATATGGTATACCTGTGCACATATACTGTGACTTAGGTTAGCGTCAGTTTTAGGGTTAGGGTTAGCGTTAGGTTCAGGGTAAGGGTTAGGCTTTAAGTTAAGTTTCAAAAACTCTTGTCTTCTTTTCTAAGAAATTTATTTTAATTACTATTTGAAATGGCACACATGGAAATAATATATATATATATTTTTGTAAGTGTCCCTCATCTAAGATATGAAGTAAAAGTGTCCTGCATCTAAATTAATAAGTGTATCTGTCCTGCATCTAAAATATGAAGTAAAAGTGGCTTAATTAATTTTAAGGGTTGCGTATCTAGTCGTGTTATGTGTATTCTTTAGCTGTTCAATGTGTAGTCTAGTCGTGTTATGCGTACCCTATAGTTATGCAATGTGTAATCTAGCCTTGTTACGTGTACCCGATATTTGTGCAATGTGAAATCTAGCCACATATTTGTACCATATATTTGTGCACTGTGTAATCTATTCGTGTTATATGTACTCTAGTGTGGCAATGTGCCACTATATAAGAGAATCCACTCACATAGTCATAGTGTGACTGCTATGGGTAATCCCAAGCACGTACACATCCATTATCCATGGTCATTCAACGTAACACTCAGCCGTGTACTGGCCTTAAATTTTATGTAGGTTATTTAGACGCGGGAATAACCATCCCTGCTACGGGGTTGACCCATGGTCAGCTCGGACGCGGGTTCCCTGTGACTGTGTGTGTGTGGGAGGGGGGGGGGCGAACTGGGACTTGAGGTGTGGACATTTTGGAGATTGTGGTGTGGAACGGATGCGTCGGGTCGATGGCAGGTGTGAGAGATTTTCCTGTCGGCTCTGTCAACGGATTGTACCTTTTCCATTAAAAGCTCTAGTTCTCAGACCTGATTGTTTTATTGTGATTTCATTTAAACTGTAAGCTACGTCATCCACTCGGCTACACTAGATTTATGTAATGTGTAATATAGTAATTTTATCAAATGTTATGTGTTATCTAGTCCTCAAAATGTATAATCTACTAATGAATTCGTGTACACAAGTCATTTAACGAATATTACATTTATTTTAAGTGTCCTTGTCCCCCCATGAAAATCATACAGAAATCCAGCCATATATCTTACAGAAATCCAGCCATGTATCTGTCGGACATTCCTTCAGTTCCTCCACCAAAAGCTGAGCTCGTCTCTGTCATCCGAAACGATGAGTAGCAAGAATGTTCTTTCATGATATTTTTGCCTTTCACAAAGGCTTCCATCAGGCAGTCCAGCACAGAGACGTTAGTGAACTCCTCTACTTTAGCTGTGTAGCCGCTGATGTAGTAGCTAAAAATCATAAAGAGTTTTGCCTTATATTAATGTTGCGTAAATGGATAGTATTCATCAAGAAATCATTTGGTATAGCATTGATTGAAAACGTATGACTTCACAAATTCACGTTTCACATTGGATCTTTCATTATTGACGATTCCCCTGGCCCAATTAATACTACAATTTGTGCTTTCGCATATATCAAACAAAAGTAATCTTTTAAAGCATTCCCAGACCATTGTAAAGAAGCGACCATTACAAAAACTAACAATGTCTAAGCCTACCACACAAAAAAAGACCTTTGTGCCTAGTAATCGAATGTTACCAGCGTAAAATATTAGTGGCATATACTACCGCATAGGGTTAGGGGCATAAAATAAGGCTTTGTGTTAGAGTTTAGTGACTTATAATTCTTCTAATGGTTAGGGTTTAGTGGCGTATACTACGGGTTAGGGTTAGGGTGTAGTGGCATATACTACCGCTTTGGTTTTTTTACATTTGAACATGAAGAATATAACAAATGGTGTGATAATTCTGCTAACATTATAATAAGTTACCTTTTTACACGTATAAATGAACAAAACTACTTAAAGCAGTTCCCTCTATAACACAAATGACTATAAACAGCTCCATCTATATTAGAAACACCTTAAAACAGCTCCACCTATACACAAACAACATCAAACAGCTCTACCTATAATACAAACAAATTAAAGCAGCACCTTCTGTAACACAAACGATATTCTGGTGGTAAAAAAATGCAGGAAAGACTTACTGGTGAAAGGTAACTTCATTGACGACATCACATCCGCCAGCTTTCAAAAACCTTAACATAAAAATAAGATTATCTGAAAACAATTAGTAGACAGAATTATTGACAGTGCCAACCTTACATATCAGCTAAGAGGTTAGGGATAGGGTAAAATCAGCAAAAGGGTTAGGATTACATATCAGCTACAGAGGCGTAGCGGGGGGGGGGCAGGGGTGGAACAGATGTCCCCGGGCGCAAGCTAGTTAGGGGCGCCAAAATGTGCTTTGATACTTTATTTTTGGTAAAAATAATGGGTTTTAGAGTTGAAAAAAAAGAAAAAGGGGGCGCTTTAAAATGGATCTTGTCCCCGGGCTCCAAACAGCCTCGCTGCGCCTCTGATCAGCTAAAAGCTTAGGGTTGCGGTTACATATCAGCTAAGAGCTTAGGGTTGCGGTTACATATCAGCTAAGAGGTAAGGTTTAGGGCTTCATAACAGCTAAAAGGATAGTGTTACTTAAACACTTCTTAGGCGTAACTATAAATTGGGAATTGTATTTCCCCTGGGTTGATTGGGAAAGGTGTTTATCTTAAATCTATTGTTAGCACGCGGCGGACCTGTTGTGTCCTGAGGGACGTAGTTTTTCGAAGGTTTGCTCTAGACAAATGCTCAATCAGGAAGGCGTTTCACTGTCAAGAATGTTACATTTTAAACAAGTTCAATACAAAATGGACGATACTCTCCCTTTTCTTTTAATGTAGCGTGTAACAAAAAAATATAATATCTTTGATTTAACCCTAACAGTAACATTAAACCTAACTTATCGTGGTAAATTTAATTAATCGAGGCCTTTTTCCTTAATAAACAGGTTAGGATTATGACCTAAATGAACAGGTTAGGACTATGAACTAAATAAACAGATTGGGTCTATTTCCTAAATAAACTCGTTAGGACTATGTCCTAAAAAAAGGTAGGTAGGGTCAAGTCCTAAATGAAGAGGTTAGGAGTATGCCCTAAATGAAGAGTTAAGGGATATGTCCTAAATGAGCAGGTTATGTCTATGTCCCTAATTAACATAATGTTTCGAAAGAAATATTGAGTTCGCGTTGATTGTAAATAAATATTTGATAATACAATCATTTTTAGTAGACTAAATACATTTGAAAAGCTTTGTTTATTTAAATGTTCTCTTTTCAAAAGCTTATTGTAACAATAAAAACGTGAAACGTTTAATCTGTAATGGGAAAATAGGTGAAGAACCAATCAGGAAAGATGTGCAGGTCAACTGTTTAGTGACTAAGCATTTTAACAGCCAGTTAAAATAAATAAGGACATTTTTACTAAACTCAAATGGTACTGGAAGATATGCTTCCATAATTTCATCATGCCCCTCCTCTCTTCATAAAAGTTACATTAACAGACTTTGGACTTAGGTTTAGTATTCATTATAACATGATGTCAATAGTCACCATTGTATCGAGCATAAAGTTTTGTTCCACCTCAACCTTCAATAAAGTTACAGGACATTGGAAATTGACGTATTCAAAATAATACATTGCTCAGTTAGGCTCAAGTGGAACACAAGTTAAACCAATAATGCACTGCTCAGTTAGGCTCAAGTGGAACACAAATTAAACCCTCAACCCTGTACGTACAGGGCACAAAACCGAAAATTCGCAGCAAGGCCACAAAAGTCATGAGGCCGTTTGTACCAAGGTGACGACCATAGGGTTGATACATAACACTATTGTAAAAGTGATATGTTGGCATATGTTGTGTGGGTTAGTGGAATTCATCGTCAGGAGTGCTCCCTAAGAGGCATTAAATCAAAGAATGCCACTGAGAATATATTTACACAGTAATCATCTTGACCCCAGTCAACTTACCCACTCAAGTAATCTGAAGCAGATCTTTTGTTAAACCGTGTCACTTCCGGTCCTAGAACTCTACTCTCCTTGTACATTGGGTAGGTAGACAAGACGTTTCTCAGGATGTTGAGATCGTTCACCAGTGTCTTAGGGTCGATAATCATGTAACCATTGCCGGGATAAGCATTCACCTCTAACGTTCACAATGATAAAATAACAGAGATATCTCTTGTAAATGTGTCAAAAGTATAACAATTTATTTCAGCTGCCCACTGTATTAAAAGACATCGCCTCATCAATTATATTCAACTATCCCCTCCATTATAAACACCTTTGTTTTCAATTATATCACAAAACTCCCTTCCATTAAAAACACATCTTTCTTCTATTATATACAATTACCTCTCCATTTTAAACACCTTCGTTTTCACTTATATTCGACTTTCCCCTATATTATATACTATTTTCCTCATTTTTAGACATGAATGCCCCCTCTATTATACATCAAGTGGCGCTGCTAGGTTTAGAACCGACAAGGGCGGGGCACGCCTTTTGCCAATCTCCTCCCACGAAAACAAAGTTCCATAATTTACAGAAATTGCCACATTCCCCTCTCCCCCATATGAGGAAGAGCTCCTCCCTGACCGGACACCCCCCCCCCCCAACCTTAGAACCTTACTATGCCACTGAATACACCTCTCTTAACTTTATTAGATACAACTGTCCCCTTGAGTCGTTTGCCAATCTCCTCCCACGAAAACAAAGTTCCATAATTTACAGAAATTGCCACATTCCCCTCTCCCCCATATGAGGAAGAGCTCCTCCCTGACCGGACACCCCCCCCCCCAACCTTAGAACCTTACTATGCCACTGAATACACCTCTCTTAACTTTATTAGATACAACTGTCCCCTTGAGTCGTACATAATTAATGAGAACTAAAATTGACAAAAACGGCTTTAAATGCAATAATTATTTATTTAATTTTATCTTTTTCCCACCCCTATGTATTAGCATTTTTGTTTTTAAAAATTACAAGTGGGTAACTGCCAAAGTTTCCGCTCACTCAATCCCTATCCTTAACCCTAACCAAACTCTGGTTCCTGCCCAAGTTTTGGTTTACCCAATCCCTTACCCTAACCTTAACCCTGACCAAACTCGGGTTCCTGTCCACGTTTTGGTTTACCCAATCCCTTAACCTAACCCTAACCTTAATCAAACTCGGGTTCCTGTCCAAGTTTTGGTTTACCCAATCCCTTACCCTAACCCTAACCAAACTCGGGTTCCTGCCCATTGCCGCTCACCCAATCCCCTAGCTTATTAAAGCCATTCTATTACAAAGCTTTCATTTGCCAACAACAATAACTGTACATAACATGTGCTTACCATTGCCAATATGAAATCCCTCAATTGATATATTGTGTTCTACAGCAAAATCCAAAAAAATTTTAGCATTGGTTGGGTCCCAGTTGTTGCCTTGTCGTTTCAAAAGGTTGAAATTGAACACAATGTCCCATCCGGCAAATTTGATAAAATTAATCAGCATGAGCATCTGGTTACCTGTCGAAAAATTATCCTGGGATTAATATTGAATTTATTGATTAAACTCCCAAAATTAAATAAAAAACTATAATTATCGTATTCATATATTTTTATTTGATCTCCGATTCAAATATTTATGTCTGGCTAATTAATCGTTATCGCAACTTTTTATGTAACTTAAATCAGAAAAGTCACAAAAATTTAATTTTTTAAAATTAATAGTGAGCTTCCATTACAGAAATGGTCGGAAGCTTTCTGGGAAGTGGTCTTTCAATAGAGTCGTCAGTATTGCTCATTGGAATAACTCAGCTATCGGAATGACTTTACTCCTTAAATGCATATGCGAATGTAGTAAATTATTTTAATATTTGAATAACTTTATTAATGGTACACAATTATTATAGAAATGACTTTACAAGTAAAATAAATTTACTAAAGAAATTGGGTTACTATTTGAATATTCGAATGACTATAAAAATAGAAACAATTTATTATTTGTTTTACTTTACTTTTGGAATGATTTTTTCGTTCGATAAATTGAACAGTCATACTTTTTCATCATCTTTCCCTTCTGCCACAATCCATATGTAATATGTAACCTATTGTTACGACCTTCGTCGTAACTTCAAATGTTACAGCCTTGTAGTACTTGAAATGCTACGACGTTCTCTCACATAGAACGCAAGAGGTCAATTGTAACAATATATAATATTTTATTCGATACTTCATAAAACAGGATGACCGTTATTTAATGACAATATATATATAGCGTGGAACATTCATCAGTCCAACTACCACTCTCTCTTATCACGACTAACAACCAACTAACTCTTGACTAACTCTGACTTCTCTCACTAGCTCTGACTGCCTAACACTGACCCTGTCTCTCACTGACTCTGACTGACTCCGACTTTCTCTGCCTAACTCTTACTAACTCTGAACTGACCTCTAGCTAACACACCTCCCTTTTATAAAACCACCCAACAACTCAGCCTACGCAACCGTCCCACATCACGGACTAACTTCACGCTTTCACGCTCTGACCTCTCGACCATCAACTCACAAAACACTCCCACGATTAACGACTCCCCCTACCCAACACTCACAACAACTCTCGCTCACAACATACTGAAATATTCAGTATCACTGGCCAAACCAACGATGAAGATTTTGGAGGATTTCGTCAAGATAAAAATGTCAAGACTAAACATGAAACTAATGAAAATTTGGGCTCCGACTTGTCAAGTTCTAGATGTATGTCCGATAATCAACTCACAAAACACTCCCACGATTAACGACTCCCCCTACCCAACACTCACACCAACTCTCGCTCACAACACCTATAGTACTCCCATGCCACAATCCATAATATATGTAACCTATAGTACTCCCCATGCCACAATCCATATGTAGTATGTAACCTATAGTACTCCCCATGCCACAATTTATATGTAATATGTAACCTATAGTACTCCCCATGCCACAATCCATATGTAATATGTAACCTATAGTACTCCCCATCAACGTATCAGGAGTTTGCACATCAACTCATCAGGAGTCTGCACATCAACGCATCAGAAATTTACACATCAACGCATCAGGAGTTTACACATCAACGCATTAGGAGTTTGCACATCAACTCATCAGGAGTTCCAGTTGAGAAAACATCAACAAATTAAAGAAAACATTTAGTGAAGAAGGCCTGAGTTTTCTTTATTTACTCACTGTATATATTAAATTGCATGTCTTTTTCAACTGTGAGCGGTGTAGATGGTCCTTGTCCTACTACAAAGGTCATAAAATCTGCTCGTGTGCCACCAATGCGGACGATGCATGGAGCTAAGGCTGCTGCAGCGTTCTTCAGATAATTAGAACTGAAATAACATATTATTATAAGTAACATCTAATTTATTCATAAATCTTTTGGTGTGCCACGCCTCACCCTAACGCACACCTCACCCTCCGAAACAGTTCACACTCCCCACGTCCGTGGCACGTCCTAACACTACCCACCTCCTTACCCTCCCCAACAGCCTCCACTCCCTTCCCCCCCTTCACGCGGCTCCAATTTCTATTTATATCTTACTCTATGTACATGCCGCTAAAATTATTAATGATTCGGTTGAGGCCTATAGCAACACCCAGAAACCGACTTGTGGTGTGATGCTGACTTTCATTCAAGGAGATCAACAACTGATAGACTGCAGGTGAATCTCCTTCACTCCTTCTTGAACCATGGCTCTGTTCACACATACACACAACCAGATAGAGAAGTGCAGTGCATCTTTTAGCAAGGTTCATCCTGACCAACAATAGCTTGGTATGTTGAAACATAGCTTATCACTGCTGAAATAGATTCGAAATTTACAAACGTGTAGAACTAAAAAAAAAAAACCTGTGTGTATGTCTTCTTTACGTTTTAAAATTTGGTTTGTGGTATATAATAATAAACTACAATGGCTTCTTTACGTATCTTCACAAAAAAGCTCCCCGTGCACATCATTTATCTTAAGCAGGTAATAAATCACAAAAACCTACCGGGGTAATCATTCCTTTACCCCTAGGCGTCCCACTAACGTACATCAACCCTCCCCCAGGTATCACATTAACTTACGTTACCCACCCCCCCCTAGGTCTCCCCTTCCCCTACCAACCTTTATCTTAAGCAGGTAATAAATCACAAAAACCTACCGGGGTAATCATTCCTTTACCCCTAGGCGTCCCACTAACGTACATCAACCCCCCCCCAGGTATCACATTAACTTACGTTACCCCCCCCCCCCTAGGTATCCCATTCCCCTACCAACCTGGTCTCACAAGATCAAATTGTTGAATGAACAGGTTCGTAGTCGTTCATTGGTGCCAGTGTATAATGCTGACAGATCGGGTCCCTGTTGTTGTCTAGCTCAGTGCACCGCAACATTTGTTCGATCAAGGCACATCAACAGCCTTCCCCAAAAATGAAAACCTGATAAAAAACAACGGATTCATGGCTGTTCACATGTACTGCCAGCAGTGCCATCGCGTGGACCTTGCCAGCAGTGCCATCGCGTGGACCTTGTCAGCAGTGCCATCGCATGGACCTTGCCAACCCGTCAGCTGCAGGAGAACTATATTTAAGGGGCTTAATTTTTGTTTTGAAAAAAAAATATAATAAACTACAGTAAAATCTTAAAATAATGAAGACCCTTGGAACCGAAGCAAAGTTTGTGCTATTTGCAGGTTCATAATTCTGTGCCTGGGTGAGTTATCAGAGCTACCTTAATATATTCAACTATTTCAAATGCATGGGGGGCAAAAAAAGAACATATAAAAATGCCAGGGGGGGGGGCTGCCAAAAAAACGGGTAACGGGTCTCTTGGGGCATCATTTGGGTAGGGCAGGGAGAGGCATCATTTGGGTAGGGCAGGGAGAGGCATCCCCCTCACCCCTCCCCCCCCCGATTTCGCTAATTTTACTAAGTTAGCTGACCCAGTTTTGGTTTTCTTCCCCCCCCCCCCAACCTTAAAATAGCTGAAATGACGTCTCTGCAAGTCTCACAAACGTTTTAATTTCTTCTTTTTTTGTTTAATAGTTTCCTTTGGGTCATTAAAAAGAACTACCTTTGGGCTAGGGTCATTAGAAGCCTTTGGGCTAGGGTCATTAGAAGCCTTTGGGTTAGGGTCATTAGAAGCCTTTGGTTTAGGGTCATTAGAAGCCTTTGCGCTAGGGTCATTAGAAGCCTTTGGGTTAGGGTCATTAGAAGCCTTTGGGTTAGGGTCATTAGAACCCTTTGCGCTAGGGTCATTAAAAATAACTGCCTTTGGGTTAGGGTCATTAGAAGCCTTTGGGTTAGGGTCATTAGAAGCCTTTGCGCTAGGGTCATTAAAAATAACTGCCTTTGGGTTAGGGTCATTAGAAGCCTTTGGGCTAGGGTCATTAGAAGCCTTTGGGCTAGGGTCATTAAAAATAACTGCCTTTGGGTTAGGGTCATTAGAAGCCTTTGCGCTAGGGTCATTAAAAATAACTGCCTTTGGGTTAGGGTCATTAGAAGCCTTTGGGTTAGGGTCATTAGAAGGCTTTGCGCTAGGGTCATTAAAAAGAACTGCCTTTGGGTTAGGGTCATTAGAAGCCTTTGGGTTAGGGTCATTAGAAGCCTTTGCGCTAGGGTCATTAAAAAGAACTGCCTTTTGTCTAGGGTCATTAAAAGATATAAAATAATTTTGAGACTGGTCATAATTAAATTGTAATCTTGCAAAACACGAAGAGGTTATTTGATGGGATAAGTTATTTTTAGTTAAATGAAATGTTATCAAATGCCAAAATAGACTTTTAAATCAGCAAATGTGTATGGAGAAAATGGCGTTTAGAAACAAGGAATACCAACTTCTGCTCAAAATCTCAAAAAATTGACTGATTGTTTCACTAATTTTCACCAGCAACTGTTATAGCAAAATAAATAGTAATTATTTGGAAGTGATTTGCATAAAGGATGGCAAAATTTTGCTAATATTTGCATAAAAATATGATAAAGTAATATAATTATATATGTTTTACACAATCATTGATTTTTCTTTCTTTTATGGATGCTGGTAATAAACATGTTTGATATCCTTTACAAAAACTTTTGTTTGTATATTATTTTTATGTTCATACTGTGTGTATAATCGTTGGCTCCCAGTAGACCTCTAACGCTACAGTAGACTTTCTTCTAAATTGATTTCAATCAAGATAATATCTAGTAAGATAACCAATTTGCAAATTGATCACAACCAACATTTGTGTCTATGGTGAAAACGATCTGTTGGGAAATGTTTCATCCGTTCAGAGTGCGCACAACTTGGTGTGTTTTTATTTTGGTTTCTTCTCTAATCTTTGACGGGCGCAATAGGGTCCTCTCTAATTGTGGTATAATGGGTAGGGACGATGGCGCAGTCAAGGGTTAGTTATAGTGCATCTGTCAGTGGTTAGGTTTGGTGGATTAGTCAATAGTAAGATACGATGGATGTGTCAATTTTTAGTTACGGTGGATAAGTCAATGGTTAGGTATGGTGGAGCTGTCAAAGGTTAGGTATGGTGAATTAGTCAAAGGTTAGTTACGGTGGATCAGTCAAATTTTAGTTACTGTGGATCAGTCAAAGTTTGGGAACGGTGGATCTGTTAAGGGTTAGGTACAGTGGATCAGTAACTGGTTTGGTACGGTAAATGGTTAGACAGGTGGATCTGTCAATGTTTAGGTACCGTGGAATTGTCAATGGTTGGGTTTCTGAACAGTGTTTAGAACAGGTTATGTCTGGGAGCAATTTCAAACATGAAGTATGTCAAGTCAACACATGAGATTAACTGTTGAACATTTGAAAGCAATTATCTTGATTGGATGCAACAATTCCAAACCAAACATTGATGCCATCTTGAAAGGCAAAAGTCAGTTTCACAAATCTCACTAACCATTTTTTGCTGCTTATTTTATGAGATTCGGATATGTGCGCACTAGGTCTGATGTAACTATCTTTTGCTAACGTTGCCTTCTTTGATAACTTTTTTAGTAAATAAATATGTTGGTTGTCTTTTTTTTTTGTGTGCGTTGCACGTCATTCCCATTATTAACATGGAATAATAAATTTAGTTATTTGTCTTTTATTCCTAGAGCTTTCGTTCTGGGTTGCAAGTAATTTACAGAAAGATTATATGGCTCTTTAATTTTAACAGTTATCCCGCCCAAGTAAAAAAAGTTTGTTGACCCGTGCCTTAGAGCAACGTTGGGAACGAGCCCATGGTCTCAATGTTTTAAGTATCCTGGGCTCAGAGTTATAAGTAACCTGGGCTCAGAGTTATAAGTAACCTGGGCTCAGAGTTATAAGTAACCTGGGCTCAGAGTTATAAGTAACCTGGACTCAGAGTTCTCAATATTTTAAGTAACCTAGAATTAGGGCTCTCTATGTTTTAAGTAACCTGGGCTCAGGTTTCTCAATCTTAAAGTAACCTGGGCTCAGGGATCTCAATGTTTTAAGTAGACTGGGCTCAGGGTTCTCAATATTTTAAGTAACCTAGAATCAGGGCTCTCTATGTTTTAAGTAACCTGGGCTCAGGGATCTCAATGTTTTAAGTAGACTGGGATCAGGGTTCTCAATATTTTAAGTAACCTGGGCTCAGGGTTCTCAATGTTTCAAGTAACTTGGGCTCAGGGTTATCAATGTTCTAAGTAAACCGAATTCAGGGTTGTTCTCTATGGTTTAAGTAACCTGGTCTAAGGGTACTCAATGTTTTAAGTAACCCTGGGTCAGGGTTCTCAATGTTCTAAGTAACATATGCTCAACATTTTCAATGTTTCAAGTAACCTGGGCCCAGGGTTCTCAATGTTTTAAGTAACCTGGGCTGAGGTTTTTCAATGTTTTAAGTAACCTGGACTCAGGGTTATCAATGTTCTAAGTGAACCGGGTTCAGGGTTCTCTATGTTTTAAGTAACCTGGGCTCAGGGATCTCAATGTTTTAAGTAGACTGGGCTCAGGGTTCTCAATATTTTAAGTAACCTAGAATCAGGGCTCTCTATGTTTCAAGTAACCTGGGATCAGGGATCTCAATGTTTTAAGTACACTGGGATCAGGGTTCTCAATATTTTAAGTAACCTGGGCTCAGGGTTCTCAATGTTTCAAGTAACCTGGGCTCAGGGTTATCAATGTTCTAAGTAAACCGAATTCAGGGTTGTTCTCTATGGTTTAAGTAACCTGGTCTAAGGGTACTCAATGTTTTAAGTAACCCTGGGTCAGGGTTCTCAATGTTCTAAGTAACATATGCTCAACATTTTCAATGTTTCAAGTAACCTGGGCCCAGGGTTCTCAATGTTTTAAGTAACCTGGGCTGAGGTTTTTCAATGTTTTAAGTAACCTGGACTCAGGGTTATCAATGTTCTAAGTAAACTGGGTTCAGGGTTCTCTATGGTTTAAGTAACCTGGTCTCAGGGTTCTCAATGTTATAAGTAACCTGGGCTCAGGGTTCTCAATGTTCTAAGTAACCTGGGCCCAGGGTTCTCAATGTTCTAAGTAACCTGGGCTCAGGGTTCTCAATGTTCTAAGTAACCTGGGCTCAGGATTCTCAAAGTTTGAAGTAACTTAGGCTGAACATTCTCAATATTTTAAGTAACCTGGGGTCAGGGTTCTCTGTGGTTTAAGTAACCTTGGCTCAGGGTTCTCAATGTTCTAAGTAAACCGGGTTCAGGGTTCTCTATGGTTTAAGTAACCTGGTCTCAGGGTTCTCAATGGTCTAAGTAACCTGAACTCAGGGTTTTCAATGTTTCAAGTAACCTGGGCCCAGGGTTCTCAATGTTCTAAGTAACCTTGGCTCAGGGTTCTCAACGTTTTAAGTAACCTGGGTTCAGGGTTCACTATGTTTTCAGTAACCTTGGCTCAGGTTTCTCTATGGTTTAAGTAGCCCCATGTAGGCTGTGCCAGTGTCCAAAATGTCCTAATTCGTTCTTCATTCAGGCTTGGTCACATAAATTTCAGATGTTTTTTTTTCACCTGGAATCTTGGAAATATTTTTAATGGGCTTCAATAAAGTTTTATCATTCAGAACTGAGAAGCCCTTTTTAAAGTTATGAACCAGCTAAAAGACTTATCTAGTGCAATGAACAAGGAAACAATGTAGATAAGCGAATTATTTATGTTACAAATAACACAAAGTAATTTATTTCATCCAAAGATAACAGGTAAGTAATTGAAATATCAAAAAAAAATTGTTTACATAACAGCATATGAAAAACATGAAGTATGTAATATGCAAGTAACTTTCCAATAAGTAAATTTAAATGTATTCCTCTCAAAAGCAATAAAAGCAACCAGTCATTTTGTCCAAGTGGCATGGATAGTTGTCTATGTCAAGAAAAATGTCTACCAGTGTGAAGTCTTTAGATATAAGAGAAGATAATCTGCCACATTGAAACCCATATTTACATTTTCAAGCAATGCTTTAAAAGTATCAACAAACAGAACAATCAATGTTTTAAGAGCATCAACTAACAGAACCATCAATGTTTTAAGAATATCAACAAACAGAACAATCAATGTTTTAAGAGCATCAACAAACAGAACAATCAATGTTTTAAGAATATCAACAAATAGAATGCTTTATGTTTTAAGAGTATCAACAAACAGAACAATCAATGTTTTTAGAGCATCAACAAACAGAATAATCAATGTTTAAGAATATCAAAAATAGAATTTTGAAATCAAAAATCCAATAAGTCAGCATTGACCAGTCAAATGGTCAAGTAACCTTAACCCTAATCATCATTGGTCAGTCTAGCGGTCAAGTAACTTTGATTTTGTTCAGTTTCAAACTTTTAAAAATATTTTTTTAAATCATATTAGTAAATGTCCTGTAAAGAATTTTATAATAAAGTGTGTAACCCTTTAAACAACAGCAGTAAAATGTTTTAGGTAACACACAAGCAAACATCTCCAAAACACATTAACTTTATCCTCACATTTCAACCATGAAGCTGCCCCAAAAATGCCTTGATGCTCTATTAGTTCTAAGTCTAATTGAAGATGGTGATAGAAATACCCACCAGGCTTGAGCACACAAAGAATTGAAACATTGTGGATTGCCCCTCACATAAAAAAATCTTGTTTTTGAATGTTTTAAATTGGCCCTGAAAGTCTGAGACCAGAGGTAATAAAATATGATCTATTCAGATGTTAGCATCCCCAGGTATAATCAGAACAATTTATTCAGATGTTAGCATCACCAAATATAATGAGAAGAATTTATCTAATCTTAAAAACCACAAAAATACAATCAACCATTTTCAAAGGTGAAAATGAAATTTATATTAAATAAAATATGAATGAATTTTATACTTTAAGTAAACTATACTTTAACTTAAATATACTTTAACTAAATTATACCAATGCTGAATTATATTTTAACTTAATTGTACTTTAAATAAATTTAACTTTAACTTAATTATACTTTAACTTTAGTAGCAATACAGTCATGTAAAAATATTATCAACAAAATACACACATCAAATTAATTTGGTTCATATGTCAAATCTCTCAAGTTGCCCATACACACATCAAATAAACATATAGATCAGATTAACTCCACCTCTACAACATAACAGACCAAATAGAAACCCTCACACATCAAATACCGTATTTTACGGACTATAAGACGCACTTTTTGCTTAGAAAAATTGCCCCCAAATTCAGGTGCGTCTTACACTTGAAATTAATATAAAAATAGTAATTATTTTATTTTGTGTAAAAACTACTTAAAAATTAAGGTGCGTCTTATAGTCTGTAGTGTCTATTAGTCCATAAAATATTGTATATATAGATAAGTTCAACTCAACCTCTGCAACAAAACAGACAAAGTAGCAACCCTCACACGACAAAACTCAGCTGTTGAAATTCAATAACACAATTAGAGTTAACTTTTGGTCGTTTTCTCATGATAGCCAATGCATAAGGAAACTTTGGCAGCAGGGACAATAATAAATCCAAAGCTTTGTGCTGTGACAGTGACATCCCCTGTTATTGTTGTGGGGAGCATAGGTGGCAGCTCAGAGCCTGACATGAGCAGCAGTTCATCATTTAGTTTGACAAACCTGGTGAAATAAACAAAGAAAAGATGCAAAGTCCTGTCAAAATATGGATGTGAATACAGAAAAATATAGTCTTCAGCTAATGGTGACAATGTTAACAGTATATCTAGATGAAATAAAATTTTGATGGTGAGCTCTTTCTATGTATCCTTTATTTTGAACGGGAATGTTTTGAATTTTAAAAAAATTATTCATTTAAATAGAAATTTCATTTGCACCATTTTCAGAATTTAGATTGCTCATTATACATTGTGTTTGTTTTCTTTAATTAAATCATAATAAAATAAATGGCATTTTTTAATACTATTATTAAGTCTGCATGCTAAAATCAGCACACAAAAAATGCAAACATTCCAAGCTTACCTAGATTTCAGCCCATCAGCATCACCTGGAGTTAGCAAAAAGACATCCTTATCTAAGCCTGTGAACTGTGACAGTGATAGGACAGCCGTGGTGTTTCGAATATTCATAAAATAAACAACCAGGGCACCAGGTGGATATCTGAAATACAAACAAAAATTTAGATGTGTCATTTACATACAAAATATTAATGTGAATGAAATTTTGATTTATAAATGAAGTAGATTCATCTGTTGGAAAGAGGCAGGAGGAAGATTACATGTTCAAGTTCAAGAACAAATCTTTTAGCCATATGTACAGATCAACTCTTTTGGTCACATGTACAGATCTACCCTTTTGGCCAATGTACAGATCTACTCTTTTGGCCATATGAACAGATCTACTCTTTTGGCCATATGTACAGATCTACTCTTTTGGCCATATGTACAGAACTTCTTTTTTAGTTATATGTACAGATCTACTCTTTTGGCCATATGTACAGATCTGCCCTTTTGGCAATAAGTACAGATCTACCCTTTTGGCCATATGTACAGATCTACCCTTTTGGCTTTTTGTACAGATCTACCCTTTTGGCTTTTTGTACAGATCTACCCTTTTGGCCATTGTACAGATCTACTCTTTTGGCCATATGAACAGATCTACTCTTTTGGCCATATGTACAGATCTACTCTTTTGGCCATATGTACAGAACTTCTTTTTTGGTTATATGTACAGATCTACTCTTTTGGCCATATGTACAGATCTGCAAATAACACGACATCCATTACTCTCTCAGGTGTGCGTATTGAGTTAAATAAAACAGTGCGGTACCTGGGTGTCTACCTAGATAGAAGACAAACTTTTGAAAGTCATATTAACATGCTATGCAGGGCGATTTTTCTGGAGCTGCGCAGGATTAGTCACATCAGGCCCGTCCTAACAATTGATGCAACAAAGAGGCTGATGTCTGCATTTGTGCTATCACGCATGGACTATTGCAATGCTCTCCAGCTCTTCCAGCTACGCTCCTGGATAAAATTCAAATAGCACAGAATAATGCGGCTCGCATTGTTCTCCGCAAACGCAAGTTCGACCATGCAAAAAAACTTCTGAGAGAGCTGCACTGGCTGCCAGTGCGTGCTCGCATAGAGTACAAAATCGCAACGGTGTGCTACCGCGGCTTACATGACCTGGCACCGTCCTATCTGAAAGAGCTGCTTACGCCTTATGTACCCACTAGAGAGCTCCGCTCATCCGATAGTGGCAAACTCTCGACACCACGTGTTCGCCTTGAGACTTACAGAAAGCGCACTTTCGCATTTGCTGGTCCAACTATTTGGAACGCCCTTCCTGTGGATCTCAGAAACAACCAGACACTGGAGTCCTTTAAAACAGATTTAAAGACACATCTATTTCGCAAACACCTTCTGGGATGATTGTCAACCTTATTTTCCACTTAATGCATAATGGCTTTTTTCCTTGGGGTTGAAATGGCTAGAAAGACTTTGCAATTGTATGCTAGTAATTAGTTTTTGGAGTGTTGCGTTTGTTTTAAATGTGGTAAATTATAGATTTGTATTTCGTTGACTTTGTACCGCGCTTCGAGCCTTTGGGGATGAAGCGTGTTTTTGAAATGAACTTTATTATTATTATTATTACCCTTTTGGCCATATGTACAGATCACCACCAGTAACAGAAACATTGCAAATCCCATCTACATGCATAGGAGCCAAAATGATCAATAAATTGATCGTGGGCCCTTAAGATATAGAAGAAGAAGAAGAAGATCTACCCTTTTGACTTTTTGTACAGATCTACCCTTTTGGCCATATGTACAGATCTACCTTTTTGGCCATATGTACAGATCTACAATTTTGGCCATATGTACAGATCTACCCATTTGGCCATATGTGCAGATCTACCTTTTGGCCATATTACAGATCTACCCTTTTGGCTATATGTACGGATCTACCCTTTTGGCCATATGTACAGATTTGTTCTTTTGGCCATATGTACAGATCTATCTTTTTGGCAGTATGTACAGATCTACTAATGGGTTTTATGTTTCTCCATAAATATAAAAATATTTACTGCTTCAGAGATGTGTAGCTAATGAAACCATAGGCAATGATTCATAATAAGATGTGTGTTATATTATTACAAATTATTTTATTATTTTACACAAATAATTTACTATGACATCCAGTGCTAAATAGTCCTTGGGATTCGCAGAAAATTAACACATTTTTACAAAATTAAATAATGTAAATAGCTTTGACTACCCATATAATTTATAATAGTATCAAGAATCCCTGCCTCTTGTTGCAACAATTAATGTTACAAAATGACACAAGAATCCCTGCTTATTGTTGCAACAATTAATGTTACAAAATGACACCAGGAATCCCTGCTTATTGTTGCAACAATTAATGTTACAAAACAACACAAGAATCCCTGCTTATTGTTGCAACAATTAATGTTACAAAATGGCATCAAGAATCCCTGCTTATTTTTCCAACAATTAATGTTACAAAATGACATCAAGAATGCCTGCTTATTGTTGCAACAATTAATGTTACATAATGACATAAAAATAACTGCATGGGAGACAAGTTCTTGGGTTTCCTCCCTTTGCTAATCTTACTGTTGGTCAAACTCAACAACTGGCTATTTATTCCCTTGAAGGATTTACTGTTATAATTTGTTAACGCTTCATAAATCAATTTTTATAAAGAAAGTAAATAAAGAGTTTTTGGTTTTAAAAACAAAGATAATTAAGATTTAGAATAAATTAATTGAATTCAACTCACTGCTCATTACTGGCACACTGAGCATAGACTCTGAGCGGCTCACTTTGTTTGCTGACATGAAATACTGGTTTAGGGTTAGGGTTTAGAATAAATTAATTGAATTCAACTCACTGCTCATTACTGGCACAATGTGCATAGACTCTGAGTTGCTCACTTTGTTTGCTGACATGAAATACTGGTTTAGGGTTAGGGTTTAGAATAAATTAATTGAATTCAACTCACTGCTCATTACTGGCACAATGTGCATAGACTCTGAGCTGCTCACTTTGTTTGCTGACATGAAATACGGGGCCCGCTGCCAACCTTTTATACAACACAGACAAATAAAAGTCCTGAAAATAGCAGACATATATTTTTGTAAGTAAAATGTTAAAATTTAATTCATTAGTGACTTTAATTTTTTAGTCAGGCCAGTGCCGAAAAATATAAAAAACACACTCTACTGATTAGAATGTTCTAAAATGCTTGTTTGCGTGTTCAATTCTCTAAAATCATTTTTTACGAGTTCAATGATCTAATATCTTTGTTTGTGATTCAATATTGTAAAATTCTTGCTTTTGTGTTCAATGTTAACATCCGTCTTTGCGTGTTCAATGTCCTAAAATCCCTTTTTTGCATGTTCAATGTTCTAATGTCCTTGTTTGTGGGTTCAAAGTTCTTCAATCATTGCATGTGGGTTCAAAGATCTACAATCATTCTAAGTGGGTTGAATTTCTAAAATACTTGTGTGTTCAATTTTCTAAAATACTTGTGTGGTCAATTTTCTAAAATACTCGTGTGATCAATTTTCTAAAATGCTTCTGTGTTCAATGTTATAGAAGCCTTGTTTGTGTGTTCAATGGTGGGCAAAGCTTGCATGATGCATTAACCAAATAGTTTATGCTACTCATCAAAACCGATTTCTGGTTACTAGTTAAAACAAACAGAATTCATGTTATAATACAGCAATTTATAGTTAAAAGAAACAGAATTCAGGCTATAATATAGAAGTTACTAGTTAAAAGAAACAGAATTCAGACTATAATAAAGCAGTTACTAGTTAAAAGAAACATAATTCAGGTTATAATATAGCAGTTACTAGTTAAAAGAAACAGAATTCAGGTTATAATATAACAGTTACTAGTTAAAAAGAATGGAATCCACCCTCAATCCATCACTGAAAGAAAAATAAATTTTGGAAGAATGAGCATGTAATTTTTTTATTTTTGTCCCCCTCTTCCCACCCCCCCACCTTTTTCCAAGTTGACTGTTTATTTTTCAACATCACAACTTCTGGCCCCCTGAAGCCACATGGGTTTGCAGGTCAACTTGATGGCTCTGAGAAGTATCATACGTAGCGAACAATCTTATTAGTAAGTTAAAAGTAGCAATGAATTGAGAATGTCAAAAAAATGGATTTAGATAGAGCAGGTGGTGTGTTCAAGAGACAGATTACGGTCATTTGTACCCTATGTGAAAATGTCATTTACAAACATAAGTAAACAAGTCATTTACAAAAATAAGTTTCACTTGAACTTTAAATAACACATGGTCTACTTACTGGAGCAGGATCGAGATTGTTGTTGACAAGGGCATAACTCCCTCCAAAAAATGTCTGTCTGTAGACTGTTGTTATTCCATACTGTGCAGCCAAACCCAATTTATCTAGCCATCTTAAAAGAATTAATATAAAACAATTGTTAGTTTGCCCAATTTATCTAGCCATCTTCAAGAATTAATATCAAACAATCATCAGTTTACCCAATTTATCTAGCCATCTTCAAGAAATAATATCAAACAATCATTAGTTTACCCAATTTATCTAACCATCTTAAAAGAATTAATATCAAACAATCATTAGTTTACCCAATTTATCTAGCCATCTTAAAAGAATTAATATCAAACAATCATTAGTTTACCCAATTTATCTAGCCATCTTAGAAGAATTAATATCAAACAATCATTAGTTTACCCAATTATCTAGAAATCTTAGAAGAATTAATATCAAACAATCATTAGTTTACCCAATTATCTAGACATCTTAGAAGAATTAATTTCAAACAATCATTAGTTTACCCAATTTATCTAGCCATCTTAGAAGAATTAATATCAAACAATCGTTAGTTTAACCAATTTATCTAGCCATCTTAGAAGAATTAATATCAAACAATCATTAGTTTACCCAATTTATCTAGCCATCTTAGAAGAATTAATTTCAAACAATCATTAGTTTACCCAATTTATCTAGACATCCTAGAAGAATTCATATTAAACAATCCTTAGTGTCGAATACATTTATTTTAAGGGATATCTAACTAAAAAAGTTGACATCATTAAAATAATATCTTCATGCAGAAATGTTTAATTGCCTCACAGAATATCTACAAATTAGATCTACCGGTACAACAAAAACTGATATATTTTACATCTTTTATGTAAAAATCATTATAGTTAAATATCACTTGACCACTTGTGTCAGAAGCATTACTGTTTACAGTATCATCCCTTGAAATGAAACTGTGCATTTTTTTTAATAGTCAGCTTTAGATTGAAATATATTGGAAATACCTACAAGAAGCCAGCGACATAACGATCAGAGAGCCCTGGTGCTCCACCTCCATAACATGAGGATGTTTCAGTCAGAGCTAGCGCCAAGGGGCATGAAATCTCTTTTAGAACCTCTTGCCCAGCCTCAAATGATTTTTTCAGTGAATCCATAACAGTTGTGTTTAAAAAATCATCAACACTGGTTTTTCTGCCATCCTTATAGTATCTAAATGATTTATTAAAAATATCTAAATAAATGCAGTATCTAAATGATTTATTTAAAAATATCTAAATAAATGCAGTATCTTAATGATTTATTAAAAATATCTTAATAAATGCAGTATCTAAATGATTTATTAAAAATATTTAAATAAATGCAGTATCTAAATGATTTATTTAAAAATGTCTAAATAAATGCAGTATCTAAATGATTTATTAAAAATATCTAAATAAATGCATATCAAATATTGCAAATAGTTTTACCATTAAATTGTAAAAAGAATAATATTCACATTTAACCATCTCTTTGTAAAGAGCATTGTACTGATATAAAGCTTTAAAATACTAAACACTCTTAAAATGCTTGAAACAACTGATTTGGTCTTTTAACACTCTTGAGACGGAGTCTTTTGAATCAAACTGACATATTGACATTTATGCAAATGAGATATCATGATGTGCATAATTTATGCAAACAATTGTTTTACCATTAGAATAAACATGCCTTAATTGCAGAACTTTGTAAAATTTCTGATTGTTGAAGCCTAAATAATTCCTTTTCAAAAAGTTTGAATAAGATTCAATGTAAAAAAAAAAACTGCAAAAAATATTCCCCAGGGACTGCTTTTGCCTTTTGGCATATTTTAAAGTCACATACTTTTTTAAAGTATTTATAGGGGTCACTAGGAACAAAAAATGATATAACATGAACGAACTTTATAAACTATCGTTGGAAGCCACCATTAAAATGCCGAGATGAGCGAGAAATGCAAGAAGAAATTTGGTTAGCTGCTAAAAAATCGGCCATATAATCTTGAGAATTTTATTATTGGCCAATGGATCAGCATTTTATCTTTTTCCACTTTCTACCCTGGATATAGATGGATGGCCCCAGCAGTCTCAAGAGTCATCAACATATGAACCCTAATGTTTTTAAACTGATTAATTGTTCATTGCATTATAAACTAAAAGTTTTAATGAGCTTACTGGTGAAATGTTGCTGCATTTACAACCGAACAGGCCCCAGAGTTTAAAAATCTGAAAAATGTATTCATACAAAATATCAGTATAATATAAAATGAAAATAATATATCAATATAATATAAAATGAAAACAATTAATTTTGACAATATATTTTTTATCTCCAGGACATATTGCCTTTTTAAAAATTTCATTAATTTATTGGTAAAATAATTGATTTAATCTGTTATCTTACTTTTGTATCATAGTACACCTAATTTTTTCATCTATACTCTTATTTTTTATTGTTAGTTCACCAAATATTTTTAATCTTACTTTATTATTGTTTATACACATAATTTTTTTAATTTGTAACAGTAATCTTACTTTTTTTAGTCTTAGTATACCTGGCTCTTTAACTCATTTTATATTTCTAACTACGGTACTTCAATTCAATTTTGTATCACCCTTAATCTCTGACCTTTGACTCTTACTCTTTGTAATCCTTAAATCATTTCTTTAAATATTTAATTTGCCTTCACTATCTGCCATATATCTAAGGCCCTCACTGATATTCCAACCCCCCCCCCCCCACATAGTCTTACAATTCCTTCATTAATCAAGAGAAGTTTTACATTCAACTTAATCAAATAATAAATAAATGAAAATCCTATTGTTTTGCTTATATTTACTGTTTAAAGTAATCTGCCGATGCAGAATGAGTGGACATGCTTGTTACATCTGGACCATACAAGCCACTTTCTCTGTACTGTGAATAGTTTGACAAAAGTTGCTTCAGTACAATGAAATCTCGGGCTAGACTTGGTGGCAGGATGGAAATGTTAAAGTTGTGCAAAAAGGCATTTGGTTCTGAAATGGTAAAACAAATACTTATTTTTAATTATAGATACTAAAATTATATATGTTTCAAAGCAAAGTCAAATATTATTCATTTTTTTGAGGAAAGGCTTTCAATCTAGATTTATGAATATTAAACCGAAATATACTTATTTCCCATAGGTACCAATAGGATACAGAGATAGCTAACTCAAAAATGGTATTTGATGGGCGACCATTTTTATCCCCAGAAAACAAAAAGGAAAAATTAGAAAAAACACAAAAATCACACACATTTACTTAATTTTAAAGCAATAAGATGATACGTGTAACCATTTATTCTTTTATGTAGTTTTTTTTACTTCATATTTCCTGGGTAAAAACAACTAGAAAAATAATAATTGCTGAAGGGTCTGACAGTAACAGCTAGCTGCCATTCCCATTCAAACTAACATTTGCTCTCTAACAGTGACTGCGTGCTGCAATTCCCATTCAAACTAACATTTGCTCTCTGACAGTGACTGCGTGCTGCCATTCCAATTCAAACTAACATTTGTTCTGTCTTAAAAATGTAGAAAAGGAAATGAAATAGCATGACCAAGCTTTTTGTTGCCATGCATTCTGTTATTGTATCAACATAAAATTATCCAAAACTATAGATGAAAAAAATTATGCAATAGTTCTTGGACTTTGCATGTAATGAAATCTACCATTTCCCAACTGAAATGCTGGAATTTCTATTCCTCTTGCTGCAGAGTAGTCTAAAAGAGTTTGAGCATTCACAGGGTCCCAGACGCCATCTCTGCGAAGGAAGACATTGAAATCAAACATGAGGTCCCATCTTACCCACTTGAAAAAACTGGTCATGTTGTCCCATTGTTTACCTGATGCAGATAAAATTATGATGTGACTAAGCATTGCTATTTATACACAAAAACAAGGGCTTACTAGTTATCAAATTAACCTCACTGCCAACACAGTTTAAATAAGCAAATGTTTAATAAAAAATAGTTTTTCTTCTAGCTATGTGATGACAATGGCAAAGAACTTGAATTTGTTCATTTTAAATGTGACGCAGCGATATATTAATTTGTGTTAAAAAAAAAAAAAAAAGAAATGTGATACATTTATAGATACAGATTTAAATGGTTTAAGACCCTTTCGCTAGTTCAAGGGTCAACAAACTTTTTTTAATGAAGAATTATTTTTTGTGTTATATCTGTTAAGAAAATTTTGGGGGAGCTGCAGGCGGGGAGAATTGTTTGATTCTCAACATGGGAGGATTGTTTAAATGTCAACAGGAGAGGATTGTTTAAATATCAACAGGGCAGGATTGTTTAAATGTCAAAGGGGAGAATTGTTTAAATGTCAAAGGGGAGAATTGTTTAAATGTCAACAGGGGAGGATTGTTTAAATGTCAACAGGGGAGGATTGTTTAAATGTCAACGGGGAGGATTGTTTTAATGTCAACAAGGGAGGATTGTTTAAATGTCAATATAGATTAGAAAACAGAATAGCAATTAAATTTGTAAAAATGAAAATAAGCGTATTTATTCATTCAAAGAGACATGTAGGCAGATCATTGAGCTGGTTGAATAGTATTAACTTGTGTCATGAAATACAATTAAAAAATGTTATAAGTTTCATTGCAACAATAAATGATTTTTCTTTAAATATTGTATTGTTGGTATATAATATAATTAAATAAAATACCCTAAAATAAATTGAAGGGTTTTCTCATTATAAGCTGTTAATCAAGAAAACATAAAATTTTAGTTAGAAAATGTACAAAAAGCTGAATCTTAAATTAATTTTCAGCTTTAAAAAACTGTAATTCATAGTGGGTTAATTTATCTTCAACACACCAGTCATGGTGAAGTTCTGTGGAGCTTCTGGGGCCTTGAAAGCTTTAAAGTCAAAATAACCAGAGTCGTAAAACGAAGATGACTTGGGCAATAACTCATCACCATTTGGTTCAAATATAAGGAAATCTGCATTTGTTCCACCAATACGAATGTTAGCTGGGGATAATGCAGATGCCATATTCCTCAGTTTCGATGAGCTGAAAGTATATAAATTAAATATTCCTAATAAGTAAGTCATTGGGAGAAATTTTGATTTGTAAATAAAGCTATAATTTCTGACCTGCATAATATAAATATAGTATAGATTTATTACCATATCCCCCCTCAGTTAATCAACATTTTTCTCATTACAATCACAAGATCAGTATCTAAATACATTTTAGGTTTATTACACAGAATTGTATCTTTGAAAGTGGCACATTATATTAAATATAATTAATTCATCAAATTTGTTCTGAAAAATTTGACTTCTGATGGATCCTGTTCTATCTATTAATTTAAAACAACCTACCTAAAATCAAATCCTTTCCATTTTGACATGATTTCGCTAGAGTCTATTGTGAGACTTAGGTATTTTTTATCACAAGCGTGAAGGCTCGTGTTAAAATCAATGTATATTTCATCTGCTTGGTTAGATGATCTTGAATTCAAATTATGAATGCTAAAGAAGCTTTGGTCATTTTTTAGCCCATTAGCAGCAATGTCACACATAAGAAACCCAACTAGACTAAGAGCTTGAATGATGAACATCTTATAACTTTTTTGTGGTTTCAGTACACCTGAAATAAAAAAATGTAAGGAGAGATTTTGCAAAAAGTTAGTATTATATTTAAGCTGAAAATATTGACCTCTCGACTAAAAGCAGTGACATAAGCTCAGCTCCATAACAATGAAAATGAATTCCTTTCATTTACCACTTATCTGTACATAGTTTAAGGTTCATCAGATATGCAAGACTAAAAAAATTTGCATCTTTCTCAACACCCAATGTCTGGAATAGTCTGTTGATGGGACGTTGTACACAAATTTGATTCACTGCAGTAATTCACTGATATTTTTAGCTGCCAGGCAGCAGTGAAATTTCTCACACATTTTCTCATTTTTTAAATATTTTCTTCAAATTCTATTCCTGGATGGTTGGATATTTTTGGACCTGAAAGTTTTTTGGACTGTTTAAAAGCTGAACTTTTTCACTCAGAACAAACTCAATCGTGTTGCAGTGTAATTTCTTGACAAGATTATGTGGAACAATTTTTTCTTACCTACAGGAGCCAGAATGATCAATACTTTGAATATGATCTAAGGATTACATGGTAATCACATTTATTGGGGAAACCCAAACATCTGTTGTTTTTAAAATACTTTTTTGTGCATTGTTAATATTGGGAAATAAAATCAAAATTAATTTATGCTCAATAAACATTCAAGTCATAGCAGGAATTGCCTACTTTAGCCAAGGCTATTAAGTTTCTTTGATTTAATAACCGAACGTGACAAAAATGCTAAGGCTAATTTATTTTCCCCTTCTTAAAAGTAAAATTGATAAATATAATTGATTGCTTTTTAAATTGTTAATAAAACACACAAAAATTTACCTTTGTATTTTAAACATTTAATAAGTTTTCCCTTTTTTTTTTCATTCCAAAAATACTTTTATTCAATTTATAACAAAATAAAAACGTAACCTTAAACTTAAATTATACTTTAAAGTTCACCAATCGAAGGGGTTAACAAAACGTGGGTACATTTACAAAAGTATACCCATGAATATGAAAAAAAAATCATTTTACACACATGAAAATTTAATTTTGAAAAATGGAAATGTGTAAAGATTTTCTTTCAAAAAATGAAAATGTATTTTTGTTTTTACTTTGCGAAAAGTAAATTGGGTTTATACTGTTGTGAGATTAATCACATTTCCGTAAAAAAGACACTCAAAGCTGTTACAGATGTGAAAAGCGGTTAAAAGATTGCTCTTTAGATAAGAGAATTCTTTGTTTTACGATTTTACAACAATGTACCTAGTAGAAAACAAAGGCAAAAGTTCGGTTTAATTTTTAATGAAGAAATCGGTATATCAAATTGTGTCAATACAAAATTTATTTCAAATTGTACATGGAATTTTTTGTTGTAAATTTAGAAAAAGTTTCTACAATTTTTAGAGAAAAAAATGAGTTTAAGGACCCGTAAAGTAATAGGGTAGGCCCAATATTTAAAAATTTGAAAGCACATGACTTAAAAGTATTTCTATTGATTGATTGATTGATTAATTTGATATTTATATCGCGCTGGTATCCATGCCACTTTAGTATGCTCATTGGGCTCTGGTTCTCCGAAAAATAATTAAACAAAAAAGTTTTTAATTGTTTCTTAAATGATTTTTATCATTTACAAAATTCCCCTCGAAGATTGAGGAAAACTGTTCCATAATTTTGGCGCTATCGCTTCAAAATAGCGCACTCCGTAAGACTTTTTTCTGTGTTCATCCACACTAGGAACACTCAGTAAGTACTGATTTGAAGACCGCAGGGTCTTCAAGGACACATGTTTATGAAACAATTCCTTGTGATATTTTGGTGTTGAGCCATCTATGCAGCTGTATGCCAGGGACAAAATTTTGTAGTTTATGCGCTCACTCACAGAAACCCAATGAAGATCTCATAGAACTGGGGTGATGTGGTAAGATCTTTTCATCCGCGATACAATGCGTGCTGCAGTAATTTGTATCTTTTGGAGTCTCTGAATTTGGTTCTGAGGTAAACCCCTCAAACAACTATTACAGTAATCTAATCTTGACTGGATTAGAGTTACTGCTACAGCATTGGCTGTTCTCCTATTGAGTTGAGGATGCAGCTGACCCAGGGCACGCAGATGACAGAAGCATGCCTTGACAACAGAACTATAGCCTAGAAATCAGCCGTCAATGAACTCTTTTATTGACAGTAATGATTTAATTAGTGATCATTTTGATTTTGTAATTTAAGGTCATGTTTATAAGGATAAAAATGTATCTGAGGGGTACGAATTTATAGCACAAAAAATACTTCTTAAAACTTTTTATTATGTTCTTAACGTAATTATTATTACACAGACACTTCTTGCTAAAATGCGGAATTGTGATGATTTTTTGCAATAGTAGGTGGAAATTATTGCAAATTGCCTGGCATTATTATCTTGATAAAAACAGGTGATATTTTCTAGTATAAAATAAGAAATAATTCTTGAAAAAAGTTTTATTAAACATGTTTACAAATTATAGACATTTTTTCAAAACATAAATCGACAGGGAAAAAACAGAGAAAATTTTTAATAAATACCATCAAATTATATTCTCATTTTCCCCTGCCTAATATAAATGCTACCTCTGAAGTGTTATATTTTTACATTATTTAAAAAAGGAATTGAATTTTATTTTTAGAATGGTAATAAAAATTTGAAAATATTTTGTTCAAAAAGATTTTTACAATTTTATTGGATATCTAATAACAATAAGTAAAAATTGTAAGTTAAAATTATTGAAATTCTTAAAAAATACCACCTGTTTATTATTTAATTACTTTTCAATAATCACCCTTGCCCTTAGTCTTAGCATTGTTAGACTGATCATAAATCTAATGAAAATGAACAATAAAATATTTAAAAGTTTTCAATATTGTCTGAAATTTACAAAATATCCCACTTTTTAGTAAAACAAACCAAGCCCACTGCCACAGAATAGGATAAGAAAATAAGAGGTAAGTAATATATATACAACCTACTTTTACATACTCATTCTCATGCCATTACACTTTACACTGTGTCTGTGTACTGTGTAACTGTGTAAATTTGCCGATTAACTTCCATATTTATTTATCTTATACTTATTCTGCCTTATTACTAGTAATTATTAGAATCAACTAAATTATTATAGTATATCTATATATAATAATGTATTATTATTAAGCATAAAAATAATAATAAAATAGAACTAATCCTCTACTCACTGTCTACTCAGTCAAATTAAACTTATAGATCAGATAATGATAATAATGATATGAATCATCATTAAAATGAGACTGAGGAAAAAGTTCAAAAACTGGACGACTGGACATAAATAAATTATCATAAAAATAAAATGATCTGCATCTCAAGCATCTGATTTTTTTGAGTGAAGGGAAGGATAATTAATAATTAATAATAATAATATTTATCACAAAGATTTTAATTTTAAGATTATGATTAATCAATGACAATGTTTATTGTTTATGATAATCATAATTTATATACATTTAAATTAATTATAATAATTATACATTATAATATTTTGCGACGCTATATTAGTATTACTAATACTAATACTACTAATCAATTAAACTTAAACGGTAAACAGTAAATTCAGTAAACAGTGAGCCGAACCCGAACAGACAAACAAAAAATGAATACCGGTAATTAAAAATAATTAAAATCATTGGTAAATTTGGAGTTATTCAAGTTTACATAAATGAAGAATAGAGTTACCTGAACGTAAAAATACGTAAGTTGACCTCGAAATCTATGAACTATGAAGATTATGGGTATGTTAATTTTTCACTCACAAGTTAAGATGAAAATATATTTCTATCATTTTGATAGTCATGTGACATAATTTACCCAGGCTAAAAATAAACCATTCTAAAAATAAGATGATTTTGTTTTTCCACCGGAGAGTAGCGAGGCTCCCCTTGTTTTCAAACAACTAAACTCATTGCCAATAAAATTCTTTTTGCATATATTTAAAAGATTTCTCAAGCTCCTGGATATTGTATTTGTCTATCTGTATATACAATATTATATTAAAACATTGGTTCTTAAACTTCCTAATGCCGCAACCCATTACAGCTCCTAATGTTGTTGGACCCCCAAAAGCCCAATCCAAAAAGGGTATTCCATTAGGCTGCATCTATAGGTACCCGGGTACCTATGGTCGCCAATGATGATTCGCACCCGGAGTGGCTCCGTACATATTAAATGAATTCGGAGCCGGGTATGATAACAATAATAATATGAGAATTATTTTTTAAAATGTTTTTTCTCCTTGTTATTTCATTGGTTCATAGTTTTATTATTTTTAGTTGTTTTTTTATTTTTGCTTTGTTAATTTCTCTTAGTACCGGTAGATTTTTTTTTAGTTCTTATTTTCTTTTTTTAGTTTAAGCCATTTTCGTAGATCATTTTTTTTTTTTTTTTTAAATTTACTAATGAAGATG